GGAATGGACTTCCGGAAGAGATTAAGTTTGAGAACCAAGGTACCACTGTACTCAGAACAGCTTAGCTTATGCACGGCATGTACCATTTTTATCCTCACACCAGCTTCATGAGGCAAATTAGGCTAAGGAAGGATGCGATTGGCTCAAGAAGCCATGATTGGCTCAAGTCCATCAGCAGGGATTGATTTGGGCTGTCTGTTTTGGAAAGGATTGGTATTGTGGCAGCGGGCAAAGCCCAATTAATTCCCAATTTTGTGGGAACTGTATTGTTACGATTGGTTCTGAGGCTTGAGTGGCAAAGGGAGAGCAACTGTGAAGGCAGATTGTTCCGCAACCGCAGACACATTTCCAGATCTGTGCGCCTTAACAGAATTTCGAATGTTTTGTTCTTCTCACATTTTGAACACCCCTATAAGGAAGCACACGGAAAAGAGCCAAAAGGTCTCAGGTCTCTGTAAGGTTTTCAAAATTCTATATATACTGCTCCTTGTAGAGACTGGGGACAAAGGTTCCCGACACAAACACCTTGGTATATAGATCCCTAGTACAATAACCCAAATGCCCCTGAACATATAACTCAATAGAAGTAAACAGGTCTCAAGCAGGCAGGGTCACGGGTTTCTATGGCTTGCTTATGAACTTCTGGCCCTTTGACTGCTTATTGCCACTTGCTGAGGAGACCCAACATCAGGCAAACTCACACAACCACCAGCTTCCCCAATCTTTCTCCATCCCAGTTTCATTCAACGTGGCATGTTCTTCAGTAAGGAAGGTATCAGTCATAAGGAGGCGGGATGTAGCCTAGCAAACGTGACAGCTGCTGGAAGAGCCAGCTGCCATCACAACGTAAGAGTCCCGCTGGATCCAAAGGTCCATCTATTGCAGCATCCTGTTCTCACGGTCGTCAACCTGATGCCTAAGGCAAGACCAAAGGCAGTACCTGAGCACAACAGCTTCCTGGGAAGCCCATAAGCAGGGACCTGAGATGCCACCTTACAGGCCGCACACTATAGGAGGCATCGAGATACTAAAGCTCTGCTGATTCACCTCCCCACCGCCACCCTCATGACTTACTCAGGCAAAAATAAATCACCCTTGAAAATACAGGAAGTTGAGGGGACTTCTGGGGGTTTGTCACTCATGTTAAGGCTTCATAGTCTTAAAAGCTGGCCAAGGAGTGTGCCTATGTCTTCACATAAAAATAATCCTTGTGCTGCATTCCTAAAAGCTCTGGGGAGGACCTCAAAGTAAGAGCAGCGCTGGAGGCTGCGTGTGGAGATCCTCAGAGCCACATTATAGATACAGGAAGCCCCGTCTCAGGCACTTAACAGCCTTACCAGGCTGCCCATGCTTTGAGGTCCTCCCAAGGGCTTTTGGGAAGTGTGGGCAGCCCAGGAGGCTATGGGATGGAATCAGCACAAGGGTTGTTTTTAGCAAAACACACAAACACCTCGGCACCCCATCGCGTCATGAAGCCTTAAGGCAGAGGTGGGAAACCCCTGGCCCACGGGCCTAATGTAGTCCACCAGGCCTGGCCATTTGGCCTGTGCCAACAATCAGCTGGGCTTTCATAGTCTCCCCTTCCTGTCAAACGTAGCCTGCGGGAGGTGGTGGAGATAAAGATCTATCCCATTGGTCGGATCCAGTCCTCCACCGTAGATTTAAATAAGTGACAAGCCTCTGCTGCGTGAAAGCTTCACTGAAGTTCCTCCCTGCAACCCCGAAAGAGGCAAAAAAATTGACTTACTTTTCTGGGGTGCAGAGTAAAGCATTTGGCAAAAGGGGAGAGCTGGGTTGTGCCTACGAATCTGGCGCAAAGGATGGCTTTCTGAGATGTCCGGCTGCTCAGTCCACTTGCCTCTTTTCAGGGATCCCAGTATCTCCCCTGCCCTCCATCTGTCCCCAGCAATTCCACTGCCCCCAAACAGCTGACACCCTTACCACCTCTTTTCCTCGCCCTGCTGCACATCACTGGCAGGCAAAATAAAATGGAATGGCAAGATGCTCCAAATAATGCAGCCAAAGCAACTGACAGCATTTATCCCAAGCTGCTAGAGCAGAGCTTTCTTCAAGCAGAATCTGGCCCACAGAAGAAACCAAGACACTGGCAAACCTGAAGCACAAAGAAACAGACTGACATATCCCGGGACACCCTAACTGGTATTAAATCAAAGAGCCTCTGCAATCAAAGGCCGAAGCCTAATGCATTTAACCACCGCTCTCATGTATCCTCTCTCCAGAGGAGGGAAATAAACTCTGCATTCAACAGTCTGCCTGTTGTCATCCAAACCGTCCATTTTGCTAAGGAAAAGAGGACATTTTTCTGCATGGAATCTGTGTCAGCTTTATGACTCCAGATGCGTGGGCAATCCAAGGATGACAGCTGGGCGAGACGCAGGCCACAGCAACGTGTGCTTAGCCCCCCAGAGAGGAAGTGCTGAGAACCCCATGCTAAAGCATATGTGGCAGCCGTCGGAACAACCTGCTTCCCAGGCAGGGGCCAAAAGACAAAGCTGCTGATGTTGCCACTGTTAGATGAAAGCAGCCCCTGCAGTATGAGACAACGCAGCCTTTACCTTGGAGAAAGAAGGGGAAGCGAGCTGGAAGGGAGTGTCTGGGAAGTAGAATTTATCCAACAAAGGCAAGAGGGCAAGGAGATCAAGGAGAAGAAGAACAGAGAGAAGCAAAGAGACATAAACAACCCAAGGCCTTCTTCATACTGCAAGGATTTCATCCCACGGTAGTCAAGGCAAGCAGCTTCGCTTAGAGCCTACAGATCAAGCAGAGTGCTGCACCCCAATCTGAAGGCAGGCAAATTTTGACTTGTGTGTGTCTCTCCCTCGCTTGCCTAGCAAACAGCTTCATGGAGTACACAAATTCAGCTTCAGAAAAGTTCGCTGCCTTTGCAGACGTTTCAGCGTTTGCCAGTTTTCACACAGGCCTTAAAGGATTCTGCCAGGAGGCACAGCTTGTCGAGCACAACAGGACGCGGCAAAACAGCCATGTGGTGGAGACAGAGCTTCTGCAGTCCCCACTTCCAGGAGTCTCTGTGTTTTTCAGTGACCTCCAGAAACCCAATCCTGGGGGGAGAAACATCTAAAATCCGTAACTAACAGTGCAACCCTTTGCCTTCATTCCTGCAACATCTACTGGTTTCAGAATCTGGCCTTCCTTATTAAGTTGATGGCAGCTTCAATGTTCGAAACTCCCATTGTTCTAGGAGCATTTTGCGACAGGGAATTTCATTAGCGCGAGCAGTTTCTGAGCTCTGGGCGCAGTACTGCACCTAAGATATCAAATTAAAACTGAAGAGTAGAAGGAAAGGAGGACCTTTTCCTGCCTCCCCACTTCCAGCTACTCTCCGAAGACTGGAGAAGAGACCCTCTTAAGAATATTAGGCGGGTAGGCAGGGGAAGGAGCAGACCATGTGAAAAACGAACGTAATATTTTAGCTGCAGTTCATTCGTTTTCAGCTTTGTATTCTTGTTATTACAAAGCATGCCTAGACATTCCGTTGCTGTGCCCATAACCTAGGTTTAAGGTGCCATTGAGCTCCTAGCTTTCATTTCTCAGTTTCTAACACTGGGCAGTTTCACAAGGGTTGTCTGGAGGTGCAAGGAATTAAAGGCAGTTACTCTAAGCAGGCTGCTTTGGTAAGCAGACCAAATAGGTGCCTGGTTCATAGCTCTGAAGAGAGCCACTCTGGGGTGGGGCTTTTCATCTCATACATGGGTCTGCAGACTAGCACGCTGGCTAAGAAATAAATCACATTGTCTTGAGTGCTCATTCTTCTTATAGTATTCAGTCTAGGGGGCTGGAGCTCTTGTGGGCAGGCCAGCGACAACATCCCCTGCCATTGTAACCCCACCATTTCTGTCAACCAAACACTTCCTTGGGTTGTTGGCAGTGATCAGTCATACGCCCTGCCATCTTGATCCCTATGGTCAGCCAGCCTGTATCAGCCTGCCCCCCCCCCCGAATCTTCTTTTTACAAACATTAATTTTTTACCGGTAACAAAAGAATCCAAGGCAGACATACAAACACAGGTTGTAGGCTAGACAGCCATAATAGCTACGTTTGCTGCACATTTGAAGAGATAATACTAGGGTACTGACTGATCTTGTACAAAGAAATGGACATCGCTGTATGGATTTCAAATATCACCCCTCAACATACTGTTCACCTTGATTGCATCAAGCCAAATAACCTCTCCAAAAAGACATTTGAAAACGCAGAAAGCCTGGGCCCCTCTGGGTTTGAACTGATGTATGAAATAAAAGGTCTACATCAAATGTGCCTTGTGTGATTTCCACCAAGGCTAAGTACAAGACCCTATCGTGCCACCTACATACTGTACTTTTCTTGGTGCCCTTCCAGTGATGTAAAATTTCCACGAGTGGCAATAAGTGGATGAGTTCTCCGCACAATAGTGTTATTCTGCTCCCCAAATCCTGGATCTTCTAATACAGGGGTTAGCAAACTTTTTCAGCAGGGGCCTGGTCCACTGTCCCTCAGACCTTGTGGGGGGCCAGATTATTATTTTTTTGGGGGGGAGAGAACGAATTCCTATGCCCCACAAATAACCTAGAGATGCATTTTAAATAAAAGTGCACATTCTACTCATGTAAAAACACACTGATTCCCAGACTGTCCGTGGGCTGGATTTAGAAGGCGATTGGGCCAGATCCAGCCCCCGGGCCTTAGTTTGCCTACCCAGCTTCTAATATATTTATTCAACTTCAGGTGCAGGAAACCTCAGGCCCTCCATAACAAGAGCTGCGGTCCAGCAACATATGTACGGTCGCTGACCCTGCTTTGCCTCTCTCTAACCATCCATCAGTTTGCCCATCAGACCTGACCTAGTGAAGAATCTTGTGGCTCTTTGTTGCTCTAAGGACCTGCTCCTTCTGGGACATCCTGCAGGTGAAAACACCTGGGCCAGAAGACCCAGAAGAAGCACAAAAGAGGGAGGAGCCAGCTGTCCGCTGATGGGTCTTACCCTGTTTGGAGTATAGGTGGAATAATAGCAGTGCAGCAGCTCTCTGGTGTCTTCTCCTGCTGGGTCACCACAGATAACAACCTGCCCAGAGAATAAAGCAGAATTAAAGATGTGCTCCAAATACTTCTCTAAAGAGCAAAAAACAAAACAAACAGGTGGGAAAACACCTCTGCAGAAAACAATGAACTATACTCTGCTCACAAGCAGTGGTGAAACATGTTGCCATGGGTCCCCCAAGCCCATCGCAGGTGACTCTCTCAGTGTGCATGCGCAAGGGGCCTGTTCTATTTCTGGGCTGAATGCCTCAAACCTTTCAACCGATAAAAGACTCAGGAGGGATGCAACCAACTCCCGGTAGGAGAAAAGCCAAAACAAAGGCCGAGGGACCCTCCCTCTCCACCCTTCTCCTCGTACACGCTTTATTTTAAAGTTACATTTATATTATTGGATCAGATTGTTCTAAGGTGTGTGATCTTTGTCGTACATTTGGTAGTTTCTTCAGCTTGTAAACTGCCTTGTGTGCAGTGATATAGAAAGACGGTATACAAACTGGGCTGGCTGAATCCAGCCCAGAAAATATATACAGTGGTACCTCTGGTTGCGAACGGGATCCGTTCCGGAGGCCCGTTCGCAACATGAAAAGAGCACAACCCACAGCGGCGCATGTGTGCACGCGCGGGGTGCGCTTCGCCGCTTCTGCGCATGCGCGTGACGTCATTTTGCGCACATGCGCGAGCAGCGAAACCCGGAAGTAACCCTTTCTGGTACGTCCGGTCGCCATGGGACGTAATCTGAAAGAACGTAACATGAAGCGGATGTAACACGAGGTATGACTGTACTGAAGTTCTTCTCCTCTTGAAGGGCAAAAGCCTGGATAGCTCAGTTGGTTACAGCGTGGTGCTGATAATGCTAAGGTTGCAGGTTCGATCTCGGTATGGACAGCTGCATATTCCCGCATTGCAGGGGGCTGGACTAGTTGGGTCCCTTCCAACTCTCTGATCTAAAAAAATATGAGAACATCCCTGCTGGCTCAGGCCAAAGGAGGGAGAAATGGGCGGGGGGGGGTGAATGGTGGGAACTGGGGGGGTAGGGGGAATGGTCTCCCCTTTCCACCCTGACCAGCCACTTTGGAAAGGGGAGCAAGGATGCTGGCAATCTCCTCTGGCTATCTTCCTGTGGAGTGGAGGCTGGGGAGTGCCAGAGGTTCCCCCTACCCCTTCTCTTAACATTAAGGAGGAGAGCCCAAAAAGTTACCTGCTTCAGGGTCTGGTGGAAGGCTGCAGCAGATCGGGCCATCTCTGGGAGGACCACGGGGATTTTCAGCAGCCTCTCTGAGAAGGCAGCCAGGATCTGCCCCGCTTTCTTCACCCATTCCTTGTGGCCGGTGTAGCTGGCTGCCCGCAGGAGGTTAGTGACAGCAATAGAGTTGGGGCAGGGCTCTGCGCCGTCTTGATCTGAAAGTGTGGGGCAGGAGAAACAGTAGTCAGGTCACCCAGAGCGCATGAGCTTTCTGCTTGCAAATTCACAGGCCGTAAAGGAGCAGGGGTCACTAGTCTGTCCGTGGCCAAGGGCGTTTGAACTTGAGGCTCTGAAACCCCAGAGCTGATTTGCAACCCTGCTAAGTGGCATTTCAGAAGCCCTGGGACAATATGAAATCTGTGACCCTTTGAACATGTAAGGTAAAGGTAAAGGGACCCCTGACCATTAGGTCCAGTCGTGACCGACTCTGGGGTTGCAGCACTCATCTCACTTTATTGGCCGAGGGAGCCGGCATACAGCTTCCGGGTCATTTGGCCAGCATGACTAAGCCGCTTCTGGCGAACCAGAGCAGCGCACAGAAACGCTGTTTACCTTCCCGCCGGAGCGGTACCTATTTATCTACTTGCACTTTGACGTACTTTTGAACTGCTAGGTTGGCAGGGGCTGGGACCGAGCAACGGGAGCTCACCCCGTCGCGGGGATTCGAACCGCCGACCTTCTGATCAGCAAGTCCTAGGCTCTGTGGTTTACCCACAGCGCCACCCGCATCCCATTTTGCGCAGGTACTTAGGAGTAAATACCTCTGAATTCAGTGCAAGCAGGCACAGGACAGGGTTATTACATCCTGGCCTAACTTTAAAGCGGTTGCTTTCTGACCTTAACGGGCGAGGGGTCCTGTCTCCCATGTCCCTCTTAGCTGTTGGGAAATCGCTCCCAGGCTGCCCTCCCAATCTGCGATGTCAGAGAAGCTACGCCAACAGCCAGCCTCTGAACCTCACCCATCGTGTACATATATGCTGCAAATCAGGTCGCCCCACTCAGCGCTGAACACCGACAGCCTGTAGGTTGTGAGCATGCTAATGTAACATAGAGAGGCCGCAGTGTGATAAATGCAGAAAGCAAGCGGGCTGAACCACCAGGCCTGTGGTGCCTCCTCAGAGTGTGTGTCTACAGCAGGCAGAGAGATGCTCGGCTGATGCACATCTCTGCACCAACCCACGTACCAGGCTTGAAACTCCAGCGCTTGTATCTTTGAAGGCTGGAAAGTGGGGCAAGAGGTGGGGTTGTGGACTGAGGAGACATTTCCCTTAGGCAAGGCTTCACGTTAGCCTCGGGAGATGGATGTGGGCTTATACCAAGCACAGAAACTCGTTTTATGGTTTGTTTGTTTTTAAGCACAGGCACTGCAAACACCAGGAAAGGACCTGTCAGCATTTCCATACAACCCTACTCAACCGTTTTAAAGTTAGACCTAGCTGGATGAAATGGTCTTTTCCACTGTACAGTGGTACCTCGGGTTAAGAACTTAATTTGTTCTGGAGGTCCGTTCTTAACCTGAAACTGTTCTTAACCTGAAGCACCACTTTAGCTAATGGGGCCTCCCACTGCCGCCACGCCTCCGCTGTGCAATTTCTGTTCTCATCCTGAAGCAAAGTTCTTAACCCGAGGTACTATTTCTGGGTTAGCGGAGTCTGTAACCTGAAGCGTATGTAACCCGAGGTACCACTGTATTGCTGTTGAACCTATTCCCATAAGGGAGAGCGTCAGCTGTTTTATGGTATGTTTGAAGATTGTCAGAAAGCAATCCATACATTAATAAAATATTTTTTAAAACAAAAAACCCGGATATTTGATTAAGGCTCTCGCTCAGCCACTCGGGGGGGGGGGTTCATGCCTGACGGTCTCTTTTCTGAGAGGAAACACGTACCATCCTTCATGCGCAGGAGCAAGGAAGGGTCGCCAGCCTCCGTGGAGAAGTAGGCGAAACCCTTTGGATCCCAGAAGAGCTCGTCTTGCTTGTGCTGCAGCTGCACAGCCCACTCCAACCAGCTCGGGTTCAGCGAGGCCTCGTAAAGGTCAAAGAGCGCTTGGATGATGAAGACGTAGTCCTCCAGGAAGCCATGGATGGAGCTGCACAGGGCCACAAGAATGCAATGGAGCTACGTCGTCTTAAAATAAAGTTTGTTGTTTAACTAACATAACGGGCACGGCAGGTGGAGGGCGTCCACTCTCATGATATCCCAATGTATTATCTTAGCTAAGAGCTGCCACCGCCACCCCACAGCCACCATGGCTAATAATACTTTAAAAATACGTGGTTGGTTGGTTTTTAACGCTCTTTCTTTTGTTTCGCCCACAGTGTTTGGGAAAGACAGCATAGCCAGTTAAAGAACACTAGAGGGGAATCTATTGGACTGCCCTGGCCAGTGGCGAGGGGTGACGGGAGTCGTAGTCCAACAATGTACAGAGGGTCACGAGTTCCCCATCCTTTGCATAGAGGCTTCTGCCTTCCCGGTCAGAAACAGTTGGGTAGCAAAGCCCTTTCAGAGGTACGCTCCCAGTACCTTTCCGAGCACAATTCAAAGTGCTGGTGCTGACCTTTAAAGCCCTAAACAGCCTCGGTCCAGTATACCTGAAGGAGCATCTCCACACCCATCGTTCTACCCGGACACTGAGGTCCAGCACCGAGGGCCTTCTGGCGGTTCCCTCGCTGCGAGAAGCCAAGTTAGAGGGAGCCAGGCAGAGGGCCTTCTCGGGAGTGGCACCCGCCCTGTGGAACGCCCTCCTACCAGATGTCAAAGAGAACAACAACTACCAGACTTTTAGAAGACATCTGAAGGCAACCCTCTTTAGGGAAGCTTTTAATGTTTAATAGGTTATTGTATTTTAATATTCTGTTGGAAGCCGCCCAGAGTAGCCGGGGAAACCCAGCCAGATGGGCGAGGTATAAATAATAAAGTTGTTGTTGTTGTTGTTGTTGTTGTTATTATTATTGAGTCCTCCATAAAGCTGGTGCTTCAGCTGAGATTCCTGCATTGCAGGGGGCTAGACTAGACGACCCTCCAATGCTAAAGCTCTATGATTCTGTGTTTCCTTTACTCAGGACATGTGAGCCCCCAATATGTTACACAGAAACCTAGGAAGGGAGCCTTCTACCAAGTTAGACCAAGTTGGGTCCACCGACGTCAGCATTGCCTGCACGGGCTGGCAGCACCTTTCTGGGCTCTCAGGCTGGGAGTCTTTCCCAGCCCCTCCTGGGCATTCGAGGTATTGAACCTGGGAACCTTGCTGCTTTCAATGCAGCTGCTCTACCACTGTTCTTCTCAGCCTGACAGGCAAAGAGGAAGAACCGTACTTCCAACCCTGCTGAAGAGGCTGTGCAGACAGGAAAAAGTAAATTACTTTGCCACTGGAACAGGATCACCTTTATGCGGCCCTCGCCATTGCCTTTCTCCCGCCACCTCAATTTGCCAACCAGTTAAGCAAAGATCGGCTTGACATGCAGCGGAAAGGCACTATTAGCATTAAGTAGCCAAGCAAATCACACACTCTCGCACATACTTTCCCCGACTGTCTTAATCTCTATTGACACGAGCTTCGTTTGTGTTTGCTCAAGAGGAGAGCAGGCTCCTGGAACGAGTAAGTCAGGGATGAGGGTTTTGCTTGGAACCAGGAGGCGGGGGACCTTCCGAAGCTTCTGTTGCCACAGGCTTGACATCCATTTGCCACCTGGCAGAAGGCGCTGGCGCCAGGAATGCCAAGGGGGGTTGCAGGAACTGCCCCCTCCAGGGATTGGCTTCGTTTCTCAGGGACGGCAGGGAAGGGGGTTCCCTCGGTGGCAGCTCAAGCTGTGACACATATGCCTGTGTTCTGGGCCTGCTAGCGTACATGCACCTGTCCCAAATCTTTCATTTTTTCCATAATTTTTAATTAGTTTTCAAACCATTTAACAAATTCAATTCAATTTAAACCCAATACAGTGGTACCTCTGGTTGCGAATGGGATCCGTTCCAGAGGCCCGTTCGCAACCTGAAAAGAATGCAACCCGTGTCTGCGCATACGCGGGTCGCGATTCGCCGCTTCTGCACATGCGCGTGACGTCATTTTGCGTGTCTGCGCATGCGCAAGCGGAGAAACCTGGAAGTAACCCTTTCCGGTACTTCCGGGTCGCAACCTGAAAGCGTGCAACCTGAAGCAAACGTAACATGAGGTTTGACTGTATTCCCTTAAGACTGCCCAGCCTTACTTCCATGTTGTTCCCATTCAAATCTTTCATCTACTGCCATATACTGTATGTAATATTTCTCTAAAGCCTATATCTTGCGTTACATTTCTTTGCACCTGTCCTTAATCTTCACACAAACATGCTTCTCCTTGTGGAATTCATGTCTGTGCTTCTCCTATTGGATACAAGGGGTCTGGTGCCATGCGATGATCCAGAGCCTGGAAGTCCCCAGCTAAAACACGGCCTCAGCTGGCTGGCCTCGAGCATGCTTCCTTAGGCCTCTCTCTACCAATTTGCCAGGGAGCAACAGCGGGAGACAGCTTTTGCCCTCGCTTCGCAGAGGCCTCTGGTGGGCCACTGTGGGAAACAGGATGGTGGGACTAGATCAAGGTTTCCCAAACTTGGGTTGCCGACTGTTATTGGACTACAACTCCCATCATCCCTAGCTAGCAAAACCAGTGGTCAGGGATGATGGGGAGTGTAGTCCAGAAAATAGCTGGCAACCCAAGTTTGGGAAAACTGGACTGATGCAGCAGGGCTCCTTTTTAAGCCACTTTCAGCACCAGCCAACCATCTGTAATATCAAGGGTATTAATACTCAGCATGCTTCACAAAGTTTTTGCAAAGGGATATGGGCACTTTCGCCTGCCAACCTAGCAGTTCGAAAGCACGTCCAAGTGCAAGTAGATAAATAGGTACCGCTCCGGTGGGAAGGTAAACGGCGTTTCCGTGCGCTGCTCTGGTTCGCCAGAAGCGGCTTAGTCCTGCTGGCCACATGACCCGGAAGCTATCTGAGGACAAACGCCGGCTTCCTCGGCCAATAAAGCGAGATGAGCACCGCAACCCGAGTGGTCACGACTGGACCTAATGGTCAGGGGTCCCTGTGTTCCCTGACTACTAGGGATGATGGGAGTTGTAGTCCCAACAACAGCTGGGGACCCAAGGTTGAGAAACTCTGCTTTGAAGCACTTACGGCTCGGTTGGCACGTAACACCAAGCCAAACTATGGCCCAGCACAAATGTGAAGGCACCTTTAATCCTGCGCCTGCTGTGCTATGGTTTGGTTTAGCATATCGCCTAACCCCAGGCTCATGGTTTGCCTCTTCTAGACAAACTAGGAGCTGTAAACAAAAACAAACCTTGGATACAGCTCATAGTTTGGGTGGAGCGAGGCAAATCACAAGCCCAGGTTCAGACGACAGCCCAAGGCCAAACCATGGCTTAGCTCATCCGCGATCCAGAAGCCCAAGCATTTGAATAAAGCCATGGATTGCCTTAGTGTTATATGCAAACAAGGTCACTGCGTAAACATTGAGTTCTTTTATTTAGCATTAGCACTAAATGCCTATTTGTTAGTAAACATATGTAGACACTTTTTAACAGGCCACCCAGTGACTCGGAAAGGAGCCAAAGCACAGGCGGCTGAGAAGCAGAAGCTCTGCTTATTGCTATGAAGATCACGTCCTCCCCTGCTCATTCCGGTTGCAATCCGGAGCCATTAATTAATAGCGGTGGGAATTTTGCCACTTTGCTCAATGGAACGAAGTGATTGCACCTGCAGCGTTAAGGTCAGAGCCAAAGGTCTGGATTCATGTGATAAAGGTCCTTCCAGAGTGAAAACTCCCAATTTCATGTTCAGCATTGCGAGAACTACAGTAACTAAATTTCTGCACGCAATATTTGCGTTGCCAGCAGACTTGATTTTAAACATCGCTTATTTATTAAGACGAGGAAGTAGCATAATTGGGGGGGGGGAATTATTGCTTATTTATTTTGCAGAAACCTTCATTTATTTATTTTTTAAATTACAGTCTGCTTTTCACCAGGTAGGTCTCAAGCGGCTTACAACAACAAAATATACACAATTTAAAACATGAATGAAACCTCAAAAAAAAATAAACTTCAAGAATTAAAAATCTAAAAAAGAGAGAGAGACCTGTAAAACATCTGAGAAGCCTTCTGGGTGCAAAGGCCTCCTGAAATAAAATGGGTTTGAGCAGGCGCCTGAAACTCAGTAAGGACGGTGCCGGCCTAACTTCTTGTGGGAGGGAGTTCCACAGAACTGGGCCCATAACATGAAGGCACAACTCTGGCCCATAGGCAACCAGAAACAGTGCTCCCCCTGATTATCTTGGCGACTGACTTGGGCTGTACAGGGTATGGGAGTCCTTAAGTAATCCTAAGCTTAAATTATTCAGTTTTCCGACACTAGTACAAGAACGTTGAACCCACTACTTGGGCCAAGGCGGAGGAAGAAGTTGAGGAAAGAGGCAAGGCAGCAGCGAAGGGCCAGGGGAAAGAAAGCAATGAGCTGTAGGGAACGCTGAAGTCCCTCTCCATTTTGCCCTGGAAATTCTGCCGGTTGCAGAACCTGATCGCAGAATTCCACAGCTTTTCTTCCCTCAGAAGAAACAGAGGCTCAGCACTAGAGTTGAGGAGACCCAGCAGTGGAACCAATCCCAGTGCCCTGCCTGTGGCGATGCTGGTTTCGGCACGGGGGCTGAGCTACGTGCCTTTGCCCCCATGCCGCCTACCCAAAGAGCCCTGGGCCCCTCCTGCCCCCTCTTTACAGGCTTGCCTGTCATCGCTGGACGCATACCTCTTCTCCACCGCGTTTCCTTGGCCCCGGTAGCAGCTTCTGAGCAGCTTCCCGCTGACGGTGCTGAACATGTGGTGCCGCAGGAAGGAAGCCGCGCGTACGGCCCTGTCGGTGTATTCCTGCTTGCCCAAGATGGCCCCGCTCTGAGCAAAGCCGGAAATCATCAGCCCTGGGAGAGGAAGGGAGGCAGAGTCAGTGTGTCGCAGCGGCACCAACGTGGCCTCAGGCTCGACTGACACCCCTCAATGTGTTTGGCGAAGAGAATGTGTTTCCCTGATATTCAGCAGATGCGGAAGGCTGGTGTGGTGCGACATGCTGCTAACAGGCCCAAGTCACTTTCTCACCAAAATGGCGGCTCCCAAGATTCACTGAAGGCAGGGTGGGTGGGTGAATGAAGGCAGGCAATCCCTCTCTAGGGCCTGACTTACCAACGAGTGCACAGTCACGGTACCCTGTGGTGCAAAAATGCATCATCCTTCCACCCCATCCAAAATAATAATAATAATAATAATAATAATAATAATAATAATAATAATAATAATACTGGATTTGGAAGGAGAGGCCAAACATTTCCCTCATATTGCCTCTGTGGAAGATGTCAGCTGGCAAAATACCTGCCCTCAGCCGCAGATAATCAGCCAGCCAGTCTCCACAGCTCCGAAAGCGATTTCTCCCTCCGTGTTTTGTTTTTTAAATAAATAAATAGGCACACTCTTCCGAGCGGAAACCACAAGACAATTTCCGAAAGGAGAATTCTGTGAATTCTGGAACCACTTTCTTGAGCACACACACACAAGAGGCTGGCATGTTTCTCTACTTCTTTCCTCCCACGATATGTCTGTGTATCTTTTACTCCATAACAGACAGGGGCGCCCCCTTTTATAGAATGTGAAAAGTCAAGGGTAATGCCGCAGCTGCACAGGTTAAAGGAAGATTATTTCAAAGCGCCTGTGAGGGGAAACAGGAGAAAGGTTCTGCTGCCCCCTGCTGGAAAATGGGGGGAAGAGTTTCAGGAAAAATAGTGGTCCTTTCCTCAGTCTAGAGTCTAGACTCTAGAGCTACCTTCTTGGGTGGAGAGTATACATCAAGGGCAGGAGAATAAGGAAGAAACAGTAGGCAGTTTTGCTCCTATCATCAACCGTCCCTCCAGCATCAGGGCATATCTGCTCAGCAGCTTGCATCATGGAAGAACTTATTTCAGCTAATATACTGCCTGTGTGTTCCCACCCATTCACTCAACCTCTGTGCAGCCGATTGCATGTGAATGCATGGCAGTGAGCTCAGCACAAGAGCAACCTCACCGTTCCAGGACGCCAGCATCTTGGTGTCCAGGTGGGGCCGTGGTCGCAGGCCACGAGCCTTGGAGAGCATCTCCTTGCCTTTAGCAAGCAGCGTCTTCAGCTGCTCCAGCTGCAGTCCAAAGCGGGCCGCTGTGAGCTCCAGGGAATACTGCACAATCAGGACGTTTTTCCCTTTTAGCTCGTTATGAGGGTCCTGAAAGGAAAACCCAACAATGGAGAACAGGAAGGGACGGCATACTCTCCAAGTGATACTTGGGTTAGCATCCCTAGCAGGCCCTGCCATTGGGATTACTCTAACTCAGTGTTTCCCAACCTTTTTTGGGCAAAGGCACACTTGTTTCATGAAAAAAATCTCGAGGCACACCACCATTAGAAAATGTTTAAAAAATTAACTCTGTGCCTATATTGACTACCATATTTTTCGCCCTATAGGACGCACCGGCCCATAGGACGCACCTAGATTTTGGGGGGGAAATAAAGGGAAAAAAATTATTCCCCCCCCCAGACGCGGGGCTGGGGCGGGAGAAGCCCGAGCTTCCCCCGACCCCAGCCCCCAGAATGGGAGCCAGAGTGGATCCCGGAGCTTGCGGGACTGGGGGTGGGGGAAGCCAGAGCTTCCCCCGCCCCCAGCCCCCAGAAAGGGTCCGAGAGCGATGGCAAAGGTGAGCGCACCTTCGCCATCACTCCCAGAGCTTGCGGGGCTGGAGGTGGGGGAAGCCAGAGCTTCCCCCACCCCCAGCCCCCAGAAAGGGTCCGAGAGCGATGGCGAAGGTGAGCGCACCTTCGCCATCGCTCTGGGACCTTGCGCGGGCTGGGGGCGGGGGAAGCCGGAGCTTCTCCCGTCCCCAGCCCCCAGAGCAGGTCGGAGAGCGATGGCGAAGGTGCGCGCACCTTCGCCATCGCTCTGGGACCTTGCGCGGGCTGGGGGCGGGGGAAGCCGGAGCTTCTCCCGTCCCCAGCCCGCAGAGCAGGTCGGAGAGCGATGGCGAAGGTGAGCGCACCTTCCGCATCGCTCTGGGACCTTGCGCGGGCTGGGGGCGGGGGAAGCCGGAGCTTCTCCCGTCCCCAGCCCGCAGAGCAGGTCGGAGAGCGATGGCGAAGGTGAGCGCACCTTCCGCATCGCTCTGGGACCTTGCGCGGGCTGGGGGCGGGGGAAGCCGGAGCTTCTCCCGTCCCCAGCCCCCAGAGCAGGTCGGAGAGCGATGGCGAAGGTGAGCGCACCTTCCGCATCGCTCTGGGACCTTGCGCGGGCTGGGGGCGGGGGAAGCCAGAGCTTCTCCCGTCCCCAGCCCCGAGAGCAGGTCGGAGAGCGATGGCGAAGGTGAGCGCACCTTCCGCATCGCTCTGGGACCTTGCACGGGCTGGGGGCGGGGGAAGCCGGAGCTTCTCCCGTCCCCAGCCCCCAGAGCAGGTCGGAGAGCGATGGCGAAGGTGAGCGCACCTTCCGCATCGCTCTGGGACCTTGCGCGGGCTGGGGGCGGGGGAAGCCGGAGCTTCTCCCGTCCCCAGCCCCCAGAGCAGGTCGGAGAGCGATGGCGAAGGTGAGCGCACCTTCCGCATCGCTCTGGGACCTTGCGCGGGCTGGGGGCGGGGGAAGCCGGAGCTTCTCCCGTCCCCAGCCCGCAGAGCAGGTCGGAGAGCGATGGCGAAGGTGAGCGCACCTTCCGCATCGCTCTGGGACCTTGCGCGGGCTGGGGGCGGGGGAAGCCGGAGCTTCTCCCGTCCCCAGCCCCCAGAGCAGGTCGGAGAGCGATGGCGAAGGTGAGCGCACCTTCCGCATCGCTCTGGGACCTTGCGCGGGCTGGGGGCGGGGGAAGCCGGAGCTTCTCCCGTCCCCAGCCCGCAGAGCAGGTCGGAGAGCGATGGCGAAGGTGAGCGCACCTTCCGCATCGCTCTGGGACCTTGCGCGGGCTGGGGGCGGGGGAAGCCGGAGCTTCTCCCGTCCCCAGCCCCCAGAGCAGGTCGGAGAGCGATGGCGAAGGTGAGCGCACCTTCCGCATCGCTCTGGGACCTTGCGCGGGCTGGGGGCGGGGGAAGCCGGAGCTTCTCCCGTCCCCAGCCCCCCGAACGGGTCGGAGAGCGATGGCGAAGGTGCTCGCAGCTTTGGCATCGCTCTGGGAGCTTGCGCGGCTGGGGGGATAGCTTCCTTAAGCCTGGAGAGCAAGAGGGGTCGGTGCGCACCGACCCCTCTCGCTCTCCAGGCTTCAGCGAAAGCCTGCATTCGCGGCGATGGGATGTGGGAGCTCGCTCGCTCGCTGCCCCGCGTGTGCTCGCCGCCGCCCCGCCTCTCGCCGCCCGACTCGCCCGCCTCCCTCCCACGGCACACTAGGCAACGTCTCACGGCACACTAGTGTGCCGCGGAACACCGGTTGGGAAACACTGCTCTAACTCACTGGTGAGTTGAGGCCAGTAACTGGGGCAACGTAGAATGAGTTGTGCCTCTAATGCCCATCCCATTGAATTGTTCCTTTTTCCTCCCTTGGTAACTTTGGTTTGGCAGGAGGAGCCAGAGGCAGGTAGGGGGGAAAAGGAGGAAACTAGACACAAAAGAAAGCCAAAAAGGAAGGGCATATACAGGGGAAATTAAAAGAGGATCCCATCTTGAAAGTTGGGGTTAAAAAGATGGATAAATTTAATGATATTTGGAATTCGTTTTTACAAATACCATAACAGATTAAGGTCTGGTTAACTACAATAACTATTTTCCCATTATTATTTTTTTGTAATGTACACAGTATCTTTTTTGTCATTTTACATGGGTACTATTTCTTGTTTCTTCTTCTTTTTTTGTGTCTTATCTTTCTCGGTATAAAGTAAAATAAAATAGTTGAAGAATATTGATCTAACTCAGTGACAAGGAGGCAAGATGTGTCCCACAGTGCCTTTGAATCAAGACCACCATGTCCCCTCCTCTTATGGCTTAGCAGGGAATGGGGAGCTTCCAATGGGGCCACTGGGACTTTTTCCCCTCTTCTAAGAATAATTGGGGGCTGGGGGGTGAGGATCAGGCAGAATTGCAAGGCAAAGAAGTCAAGCAAGCAAAAGACTGAAAACACAGGTTGTAGACCTAGCCAAAGAGCCCCAACTAGGCCCTGTTGGCCAGGCTCCCTGCAGCCTCTTCCTACTTCATTTTCTAAGGGGCAGCTGGGAGGCTGGAGCCAAAGGGAGCAGAGCAGTCCAAGTGACCTGGAGTGAGCCAGGGGAGGATCAATTCCTGGCAGCCGTGAGTAGTTATTGATAACTGTAACTCACTTATCTGAAATGTAAGTAGTGTTTCGTATGCAATGCCAAGATGCATAATCAAATGTTACTAGACAGATTACCATCTTTAGGGGTTAGCATGCTAAGGGGAAGAAGGATGTGAACAGGACATGCAATATCAGATCTTCCAGGGAGCGAAATCCTCTGCCGTCCCATATCATTAATGAAGCCCCTGCTTCACACCAGCCCTTCGGGTTGGTGCCTGATGTAAGAAGAATTCGGGTCTAGAGACTGCTGGTAAGCATTTGTGAATTCCAAGATCTATAGGCTGCCTGAAGTTGGAAAGCCTCAATAGCTCCTCATCTATGAGTCAGGCAGAGTGCTCATCCTACCACCAGCAGAGGAAAAATTGGAGTTTCCCAAGCATCACAGGCACGTATTGGGCAGTGCCTGTGACATCGGGACTGATGGGAAGCACAACAATTCCCACCCAGGTTGTGCCTTCTCTCCCACTGCACCTTCATTGGATTCACATTGCCGTCCTCTTTAACTCCATAGTGATGCATGAAGACATCTGCCATGGTCTTTTCCTCTGGGATCCCTTCAATGGGGTCGGGCAGGTTCCACCGGATCTCCTCAGCTGTCCACACACAGAATGCACCCTCTTGCTTCTCTGTTGACTGGACTGTGGGGTAGGAATCTGCATCCTCTGCACTGTAGAACCCCCCAGACTGAAAAACAAAGTGCCACTATTAGCAGACACACATGTGGAATACACCAGTGATGGCATCATCAACCTAGTGAAAGCCTATCTGGGAATGGTCCAGTTAAGAAAGTCTAGTTACTTTCACTGTCATGATCCTGTCCACAGCATGGAATTAAGGTGCTAGGGGACTCTGTGCTGCCTTTGCTACAGCAGATTAAAACAGCTGCTCTCCTGGAAATCCCCTTTGAGAATACTTTTTTAGCAACGAACTACACCTTATATACATGCCTGTATAGTAAAATTCCAGCAGCTGCTTTTTCTAGGCAAAGCAGCTTGGGGGAGGAGTAATTTGAACCAGAGAAGCAACAGAGGTGAGGAAGCTTAACCCTTCCCCTGTCCATCACACCCTCACCCAAAGCAGCTGTCAGAATTTGCACGTAACATGTGGTTTGGCCCTTGCAACAATTATTGCTTTAAGAGTATTTGAAGTCTTTTTGTTTGAAGTCCTTTTATAACCCATCATGGACATTTTCAACATTGAAAGAAATTATCCTCTGTTTAAGCCTATCAGAGGGTACATCATTAAGCGTAGATCCCAAACAAGCCCAGCTTTGCCCCAGGAAAAATGAATGGGAACAGTGAGGAAAGGCTCTGGATTGGCTTGGTGGGAGGATGTGCTAAAGCTACGATATCTACACTCAAGGACTGAACCTGCTGCTGTTGCAACAGTTCCACATGGATGTCGGTGACTCGAAGTCCAACCCACATTTAACAGCAGCAAGACAAGACCCTGGAGATGGTAGCTTACCCCGTCACTCAGATCCCGGGAAACGTAGAGCAGAATGTCTCCAACTATGTCTGCAAAGAATTCATCCCCAGATATCTGTTTTAAGACACAAGGAAGATTGCATTCCAAAGATAATGTAATTGGGGGGTGGGGAAAAGGGAAAGGGAGCTTATGATTTAAAGATCAAATGGGAGAGGAGGATGGCGCAAGATGTTAACCCACAATGGGATTAGCTTGGGCCCCATCTCTGGACCACAATACACATACACATATCACTGCTAGAATCAATAGGTACAGTTTAGGTTGGCATCTCAACGCTACTCAATGCAGTCTCAACAATCTTTGTGCAGCAGAAATGTTGAATACTGAAGAGGAATCACACCCAGGTCATTCAGCCCCCAGTGCATTGGGGCAGCTGTTGCCTAGTAAATAAATGAAAGACACTGGTTGTGAGGGACACATGCCCTCTTCTTGGCTCTGCTAAGATGTACCTTGCATGCAAACACATCCCTGCTATAAGCTCAGAAACAAACATCAAAATAGGTGCAGCTGATGGACCTGCAACTGATACCTGTCCGTATGGATTTCCAGTCCAATTTGTACACATCCTGGCCCCAAATGCCACACCGATCCCTTGCCAAAAAACCCCAGCAACAACCCAATAATGATATGCAAGAACTTGAATTTCACAGCAGGACTAACCTGGGAACTTTACACCTGCCTGTTCCTATTTGTCTGATCTGTACGATTTATTCTTATGGGATTTCGGCTTTCCGGTTGCAGAATTTGGGACAGATGGACACAACTCCCACCTTTATGTAAATTTCTCTCAAAGCTGCTTTCTTTAAAAGGTGAATAAGTTGAAGGTTGCTATCCTGGTGCCAGAAGCGGATGATCGGATGTGAAATGGGGCTACCCAAGATTATTTCAGGATACAGGGAAGCCAATCACCAGAAAGGAGAGGCAGCAGATGGGTAGTTTTCTGGCTTCAAAGCCCTTGTGGATTCCACAGCTGCAAATCCTGTTCAAACCGTTCAAATCTGGGGAGCCCGGTAATGAGCAATTTAAATTAGTGTGGAGGGGGAGACTGGCTCAGCATGAAAGCTCTCACCTCCAGCCATGACCACATCAGTAGCAACTCTTACAGAGTGCCCAGCCGTGCTCTCAGAGGTGTCTACATAGGAATTTACCCCCTGGAGGTGGCTCTGGCCAGTGTGCCTCAAGAGCCCTCCAAGTCTCTTGCAATTAAAATCAACAGTACACAGCACTGCGTCTGCAGACTATAAATAGATTTAAATGACTTAGAAACTCACAAAACATGTTACGACACAGCTAAAATATATGCGCCAGAATCAATGAGACATTCCTCCTCCCTACAAAAGCCTGGAAGAATGAACAATATTGTTATAAGATGGGGGGCTGGTTTTGACTATGCCTTTGTGCCCAACCAAGCCTGTGGGAATTTGTAGCAGAAGGGACTGACCAAACCAGTCTCTCCGTTAAGGTAATGGGCCTGGGCAAGTATGTTAGGCATCTATTTACATGTCTAAAAAGTTGGTGAAGTATGGATATGTTGCCATAGAGACAACTGACTGGTGGTGCTCTTTCGGGAGAGGTTAATCTCTCCCACCAAAACCTGTCTGGGAGCCACAGCCTTTAGCAGGTAGGAAAACAATAGTCCAATAGTTTTTGTCTAGTCTGCCCTGGAACTGGGAGCTGAAAAGACACACAGGCTATCTGTGCTGAAAGCTAAGCTATGGCTTTGGAGGGGAGGGCAGAAATCTATTGAGGAAGCAATATCTGTTTGAAGAGTTAGTGCTGTGAGCCCTACCATCTTATGATCAGGTTGTATATGTGCATATAAAGCCATACATCCTAAAGGCACCAGTGTCTCTAGAGACCTTCATTCCAAGGCAAGCAAACTCCCTGGAGTTTCTCATTGCTCAGAGATTAGGGAGCACACAACAATATTTTTTACAACTCTCTGTCGAGCTCCGACAGAACAAACCTGGCAAAACTCTCCCAGGAGGCTATTCTGCAGGGAAGGTGCCACCAGAGAGAAGACCCTGCCTTCAGGATAAACAGAGAGGAATTAGCTGTAGGCATGATGCAGGAGGGAAAACAGAGGTGGGGAGTATCATATGCACCACAGGAGACAATGCCGGAATGAAATGGCACCGCTACTTCCACTTAAAGGAGGGATGGCCAGCCTTCAATACTGGAGTACTGTATCTTTAACAGGTATGCAGAAGAGAACATTTCAGTTGGCCCAGCTTGTAACATCACAGTCCCACAGGAGCCCAAAACACTGCGCCTGCCAAAATTCAGCTTGGCTATTAAATGTCCAGAAACTCTAATGCTGCAAGACTAGACCTCCCCTTGATATTGCTCCTTAAAATTTATTCACTACTATAAATCCAAAGAAATGTTATAATGGATTTTTAAACCCCAAAACGGGCATAGTTGTTTATGCTTCTGCTTAAATTATAAACACAAAGAGGCCGGGAGTATATAAAATGTGCCAAGTCAGACACAGTAAAACCAGAAGGCACATCATTAGGCTTGTATGGTGAGACCCTTAACTTGTAATCCTCAGAAACCATACCAAGATTATTATTTTTTAAGGATCCAAGTAGTTCATTTCCTTACACACTCAGCATTCCTCAACTAGTGGGGGGAATCCTCTGCCTCAACTAAGCCACATATTCACTGAGAGATATAGGTTTTTGTCTGGGCACAGTTTGAAACCTCAGTGACTCCCAACGGCTGACTCCCTCACAACCATCCTAAGCAACGTATTACACGTATGGTCGTATTGTATTGATTCGTTTCTCCAGAGAGAGAAAGAAAGAAAGAAAGAAAGAAAGAAAGAAAGAAAGAAAGAAAGAAAGAAGCAGACATGGGCCCTCTCAGTCTGGATTAGGCCCAGAGAGCAAATTGATTTAATGCACCCCACTCCTGCAAACACATCATCACTCTGCTTTCCCGACAAATATCCTCCCTGCCCCCTTGCAATGTGCTACTTGCTCCAGAAGAGAAACTGCTATTTGGGCCCACAGGCATTCTGCAGCCTGAGGGGCAAGATGTCACCTCCCCACAATTTCACGTACAGAAGCCGGCTGGACTGGCAGCTAAACCTTCTACACTGGCAACACGGCAAGGTCCTCCATTGCACTTGAGGGCAGCAGGCTAGCTTAGGGTGCGCATGGCAAGTTGTGTGTGGCTTGCCCAGCTCCGTCCTCCTCCAGCACCAAGGCTCCCCTTGGATAAAACAAAATGAAGCCTTCTCTCCATTGTCAAGTGCTCTCCGCCCCAATTTCTAAGGAAGAGGAGCACAGCGGTGGCTGGACTTGCTTGTGGGACTGTTGTGTGGAAAGCAGCACTGAGAGAGGCAGGCACCCGAGATTCCCTGGGAGTGGCAGCGAATTATTTCCATCTCAGAGCACCCTTGCCACAGCGGGAACATTAGCAGCCTTTGCCCATGTGAACCATTTCTCACTTCTCTCTTCCCCGCTCCCCCCCCCAACAACCCTCTGTAAAGCTCCGCCTGTTCCACAAAGCCCAAGTGCCGCTCTCAGTTTTCGTTAACACTCCTGAGGTGCCAAGAACAGCTGCAGGAAGAAAGGAAGCGGTGAACCCTCACACACACACACACATACACACACACCCGCCTGCCCGCCACCCAAGTGTCATCCTCTCCCTCTGTTGCCATAGAAGGCCTACAAAGGAAAACAACAAACGTCTCCTTTTCCTCTACTCTGCGTGAAGGCACCAGTCCCTGGATGCGGGAATCAAGCTCAAGAAGCCCAGTGTTTGTCTTCTTCCCACCTAACCTCCTGCTTTCCGGCGGCGAATCACATTTACCTCCATGTCATCTCAGCGATAGGCCGAAAATGTGAGGAGCTTAAGAAGCGAGGGCCGTATTCAACTACATCGCTGCGCTGGCAGAAGCGGCTTCTCCTCTGCCTTCTTGCTTTGGCCACTGCCTTCCACGCTCAGAGAGGGCAAGTGCAGAGGGCCAGCAGAGCCAGGAAACACTGGTGGTTGACTGTAAACCTCAGCAGATGCCCAACAATGCTGCCCCCTGGTGCTGGCACAGGAGTATCACGATCCCAGCATCATGCTCTGCTTCCTGCCTGCCTCTTTTGCCAAGATGAGAACCGTGTCCTCTGGCCTTAACTAATAAGGAGGGGACTGCAGGGTATCGTTGAGGCAAGAATCTGAGCTGGGGAAGTACCTGAAATGCCTTGGCGTAGGCTGCTGCCAGCTGCCCCTGATCGTACAGCATCTTTTCAAAGTGAGGCACGTGCCAGCGCTGGTCAGTGGAGTAGCGATGGAACCCCTGCGGCAGAGAGAGGGGAAGAAACGTCTCGTCACTTCTGCCCAGTTGTAACTGTGGTCAGGTATCCCATGCCTGAGAGAGGGGCAGAGAACTCTCAGTTCAACAGACTAGGGCAGCCTTTCTCAACCTGTGGGTCCCCAGATGTTGTTGAACTACAACTCCCATCACCCCTAGCTAGCAAGGCCAGAGCTCAGGGATGATGGGAGTTGTAGTCCAACAACATCTGGGGACCCACAGGTTGAGAACCGCTGGACTAGGGCATCCAGCAAAGGGGTCAATGGACCTGGTGGTGATTTGAAACCACTGAGACCAACCAAGCCTGCAGTGGTGTGATGCTCATCCACGGGAGAACTGCCACAATGTCCATAATCCACAAAGGAGGAGGGTATCATGTGGAACCTTATGCACCACTAACTGCTAGATACAAGTGAAAGCTGGAGCAAGGCCATGCACAACAGCCCCTGCTGCAGATATACCTCTGTCCCTTGGAAAGATTTCCAGAAGATTATCCTTTCTATATCTTCCTAGAATCTGACCCAACAGGATTTAGTTTGGGTGTGTCTGTGGAATTCAGCTTTCCACAGACTACACACCCAAAACTACACACACACACACACACACACACACACACACTGGGATCTAAAAATTGTTAGATAATGGTGTTTATAACCAAGTTGACCCTACACACATGAATGGGGTGGAATAGATAAAATGACTTTGAAATGGACCAGTTTCTTCAGTAAAATACTGCCTGCTGTTAAACCCAAGAATCTCTTGGGTACACCTCTGTAACTCAGAAAGATGCAACACTTTATATCTATTTCCAGCAGCACTTTACAGCCATTTCCGGGCATTTTTTAGTTTTACACGGCAACACTGCATCTATTATTACCTTTTCTCAGATCCTCCTTCCTCTGAAAGTGGGTAGTTGAAAAAGAATATGGAGTGATGAGCAAAATCAGGCAGGTGGATGGACACAGAACTTCTATGTCAAGGAATGGAGAATGGCACATGGATGAAAGTCCCCTTGTGAAAATCATGAAACCACTCAACTCACACTGCCCCCACCCCTTCATACCTGGGCAATGTGATCATGAACCCCGCCATAGGCCATCATCTTGAGGGTGTGCAGGGCCATCTGCAGTGCCCGAGCCCCTTCAGTAGTTGACCGATGAAGAGCCCAGTAAGAGAAGAGGAAATTCAAGTTGACTAGAATACAAATAAGCAGGAAAGTAATGAGCCTTGGTCGGTTGTTTATGCAGCGCTGCCTCCTCTTATGGCTACGATGGGGAATCACTTTGCAGGTCTTCCTGGACTCCAACTCCCATCATTCCTGTGACCACAGGCAATTGCTGGCTTGGGACTGATGGGAGTTGGAGTCCAACAACATCTGGAGAGCCACACATCCCTGAGCTACTCAGATAGCTTGACAGGAAGATCTCAGACTAACCTGGAGTAGGGAATTTGGGAGACTCCGAGAATCCACCATATTCTTCATCATAGGACTCTGACAGCTGCTGGAAGCACCTGCTCATCACCTCCTTTGAAGATGGGGGAGCTTCCTCCCCTCGAGCACCGACATCAGTCCTGGCTAACAGCGCAGACAGGATTTTCTGGCTGTTTTCCATAAGGCTAGTTTTGTTCCGCTTCCACTGGCAAGGAGACGGGGGGGGCACAAGGAAGAAGTCAAGTCATCATTTTGCTAGTATTCACTCACACCTTTTGCCTCGCACAACCACCTATCTCCTCCCAAAAAAAGGGGGCAATCATTTCCCACCCACCATTTTAAAGGAGGTTTCAAATATCAAAAGCAGTGTGGCTTGGCACAGCAGTGGAAGGGCCATTCCTCTTCTCTAGGAGTCCACATTTTCCCACTCGCGTGAACAAGGCCCCTGAACGGTTCTCAGGTATTACAGTTGCCACTGCCACACGACGGAAGCATCGCAGAACAGGCCCCAAAATGTCTGCTTATACATTTTTAGCCGCAAAAATGTTTGCCAACGTATCGTTCATTAAAACTAGGTTCCCAGATGCTTCCATCGGGCACACACTAAACTGTAAAGGAGAAAAACATTGTTAATGCCCAGTTATTCTTACCCCATAGCAAATTCTATCCACGTTGGACAAATGTGACGAAACCCAATTCCTATTAATCAACTTCTCTCTCCCTAATTCATCTTGCCCTGAGCACTCGCCCCCAAACGACAAAATCAGTTCACATCCCCTGCTCTAAAAAGCCTTTAGACGAAAAGTTCAGTCCAAGCCAGAAGTGGATGGTATGAAGAGAAGAAGAGGAGTTTGGATTTGATATCCCGCTTTATCTCTACCCAAAGGAGTCTCAAAGTGGCTAACATTCTCCTTTCCCTTCCTCCCCCACAACAAACACTCTGTGAGGTGAGTGAGGCTGAGGGACTTCACAGAAGTGTGACTAGCCCAAGGTCACCTGCAGCTGCATGTGGAGGAGCGGAGACGCGAACCCGGTTCCCCAGATTACAAATCTACCGCTCTTACCCACTACACCACACTGGCTCTCATGTTTGGGGCACTGCCACTCTCCTGACACCACTGCAGCTTACCTGAGTGGGACTGGGGCAAGGCAGGGGCAAGGACGGGGTTGCACAGATGCACAGGGGGAGGGGTGTCTGATTGGGCTCTGCTGGTGTCACCCTGCACAGATGAAGCACAGCGGTGCCAGCATCAGGAGGACAGCTCTGGGGCTTTGCCCCAGCACAAAAGCCACTATGTGTTAGGGACTGGACAGAGGAGGAGTGGCGGAGACCGCCTCCCCAGCCTGAACCTTCCAGAGAAGTGGAAGACAGTATAGATTTACAACAGTGGTTTTCCGGAGGTCATAGCTCAGGGGCAGATGAAGAGCAAAGTTGGGAAATAATGGGAGAGGAGGAGGCAGAGCCGGAGCAGCTGGCCGACATGTTATCGCTAGAAAGCATTCCAGGCCCCCCTTCTCCCAGGACCTGGCAGGCATTGAAAGTAGGAGAGCAAATTAGCCCAGAAATGGAAACAAGTAGAAATTCCGATGAAAGAAGAATGGCAGACAAAATTAATGGACTACGCAGAATTAGACAAAATGACAGGAAGGATTCGAAACCAGAGATTTACAGAAGATTGGGAGAAATATACAAACTATTTGAAAAGCAACTGTAATCAATAAATTACGCTAGTAGGACTACAAGAAGTTTTGTAAGGAGAAATATATGAAATATTGCAAAGTAGAGAAAGAACAGAGATATTAGTTATAAGATTTAAAGGTAACAGTGAATGTGAGAAATGTATATTAAGTGAATAGATTGGGTAATTTTCAGACATGATTGATGGAAGTCAAAAAAATATTGTATAAGATGTAAAAGTATGTTTAATTACTGTTGAAAATGATATGTTAAAAAAACTAATAGAAATTTATATTTTTTAAAAAGAAAAAAAGTAGGAGAGCAAAGGGCTTGGAGACAAATGACCCTAAGCGGCCACCGTAAGGTGGGTTGTGCTGTTGACGATTGAGGAAGTGGAGAGAAAGGGGATGTAGAGATTTACTCGGAGCAACACCCATTACTCCAAAAGGCAGCATTTCTAAGCCTCTCTCTGTGAATATGGAATAAAAGACATTGGTAAGAACTTTCCCTGTCTTATCTATTCCCAGCAGCCTACCGTGGGGGGATCGGATTCCCTGATGCCTGACACTATGGGAATGAGTACAGTGTGGTCCCCGGTGTACCGCTCCAGTGAGGACCTCAACCAATCCCATGACCCTGGATGCCGGACTCCATACCTGCTCTAGGATGCGAAGCAGAACGGTCCGAAAGCCAACCTGGTAAATTCCATCCTCGGGAGGGAAATAGGTCCCGCCTACAAATGGTTTGAGATCAGGTGTTAGCCACACACTCATGGGCCAACCTCCACCACTGCTGGTTGCCTGCAGGAGGAAAACAAAAGATATGGCTCTCTTCAACATCTGCCTCTAGGAACAACAGTCATCTTCCGTTTGCTATGCTCATTCCTGCTCCCCACCTGCACAAAGGCCATGTAGACTTTATCGACATCCGGCCGCTCCTCCCGATCCACCTTGATGCACACAAAGTTGTCGTTCAGGATCTGGCCAATTTCTTCATTCTGGAAGGATTCCTGCTCCATCACGTGGCACCAATGGCAGGTCGAGTAGCCAACTGAAAACAAACGCCGGCGGTTAAAGAAAGGCTCACCGAAGGAGAAGGCCCTGCTGTACCCAGGGAGGAGTGGGGGGCAAGAAAAGTCAAAACAGAAAAGTATATAATTCAAGCAACTCGGCAGGCTAGGACAAGGAGTTGGCTTTAAGAAAGGGCTAGCCAACCTTGGTGGGACGCGGGTGGCGCTGTGGGTTAAAGCCTCAGCGCCTAGGACTTGCCGATCGAAAGGTCGGCGGTTCGAATCCCCGCGGCGGGGTGCGCTCCCGTTGCTCGGTCCCAGCGCCTGCCAACCTAGCAGTTCGAAAGCACCCCCAGGTGCAAGTAGATAAATAGGGACCGCTTACTAGCGGGAAGGTAAACGGTGTTCCGTGTGCTGCACTGGCTCGCCAGATGCAGCTTGTCACGCTGGCCACGTGACCCGGAAGTGTCTGCGGACAGCGCTGGCCCCCGGCCTATAGAGTGAGATGGGCGCACAACCCTAGAGTCTGTTAAGACTGGCCCGTATGGGCAGGGGTACCTTTACCTTTAGCCAACCTTGGTGTACTACAACTCCCATCATCCCCATGGCTGGGGCAGAAGAGAGTTGTAGTATGACCTCATCTGAAGGGCACCACACTGGTCGTGCCTGCTTTAGCAGAAAGCTAAAGCACAATGCATTCTCAATAAATTGATTGTTAGGCGAGCATCTGTCTAACAAATGGACGATTTCCATTTATTCCTAAGGGGAAATTTCTAATGCATTGTGAGCCACAGAATTTTGACCCCAAAATGAGGAGAAAACCCTCTGAAACCTTGCAAAAGGCAAACATGGAAGGGGGAAATGCTCCCTTATTTTGTCTGATCTCTCCCCCTTCCTTCCCAACCATAGTTTCTGGCAAAACAGCTGCCATGCACCAGCAAAGCACAAAAGGTAATGCTTATTTAAGGCTGCGTCATTGCACGCACTGCACGCACTGCACGCACTTCCAGCTGTTTGGATATCTGAATCTGCAGTGTGCGTAGCAAAGTTTGAGTCCTAATTCCTCATGTTTGGATAAGTGAATTTTCCTTTAACAAGCATTTTGCTAATGGGACCTGCATGTACAAACATGAGAACAAACAGAGAGCTGCCCTTTCATGGCTCAATGTTGGTATAAACGATGCAAGGCTTCTAAACCCCAGCAAAGTGACCTTTTGGAAGAACGTAACTAGAACACCTCTAGCCTGGGAAATTGAAGAACAAGCAACTGAGAATGTCTAAGCAGATGTTTCTATAGGAGACGTAGCCTATGTGGTGACCTCCAGATGTTGTTGGACTATAATTCCCATGATTCCCAGCCAGCAGTGCCAATGGCAAGGGATTGTGGGAGTTATAGTCATATAATACTTGGAGGGTTATCCCCATACTATAGTAAACTTCTATAAGTTTAGTTGCTTATAATGTAAATTCAAAAAGCAGGAGGAGGTCAGGGGAGGGGAAGAAATATTTTTAGATTCCACTCCTCCTTTTGAGTAAACATGCATAGCCCTGTGCTGTTAGAATTGCTTAAAAGAAGAAATCCAAGACTCCCAGTATTACTCTAACGTGTCTCTTCACCCAAGCTCCAAATCCCCATCTGCTTGAAACTCAAATTGGAGCAATTCCCAGATACCGGATCTGCTCCTCCACTAGTAAATTTATGAGCTTCACAAGGTAGGTAGGCTGAGCAGCTTATCCTCACAAGTATTTCCTGTGCTCTTCTTTGCAGATGCAAACTACAAGGCAAGGAAAAATATTGCCCCGCCTTCTCCCAGAAAGCAGCTCATTGAAAGCAAGGGAGCGCCCAGCAGATGAGGACCCAATTTGGACGACATTTATTCCTCCAAGCGCAAACATTTGTTTCATGTTTCGAGCAGTTTTCAAGTAAGTAAGCATTGTCACTTCGCAGCAGCCTTTCTGTCAGGCTGCAGCAGATGGAGAGGAGGGAAGCAAGGCTATTTCATGGGCCCTGCTGAGAGACCAGCTGCCTTTGACTGTTCCTCAGCTGAAACCTAGCAATAGCCATTCTGCCAGGCTACCTGGGAGCCTCCATGCCAGCTGGTTGCTGCAAGAACTGTAACTATCAGAGCTGGTGCCGGAGTCTGCTTGTTTTCCCCTTCTCCCTCCCCATCCCTTTTTCTTTTCATGTCGTGTCTTTTAAGCTTGAAAGCAGGGGTTGTTTCCTCACTGTTGCTTTTTTCCTTTGTATGTAAAGAATGGAATAAAATTAAAATGAGGAGGAGAAGAAGGAGACATTCTTCCCTATGCTTTTATGAACTCACAGATATGTGCATGTGCTTTTTAAAGTTGTGAATGTTCATGCAGGGGTAGCATAAAAAAAAGAAGTTCATTTGTTACCAGATAGAAATATCAGCTTATCTTCTCTCTTTGCTTTATCAAAGGCTTCCTGTCCCCAAGGATACCTGAGGGGAAGAGAAAGAGGAGAAATATGCCAGGATTTGTGTCTATAATCACTCAAATCGATATGCCTATTTTTAATGCAAGCAGTTGATATTAAGCAGTTCTTTGATTAAACCCTGATCCTTCCCATTACACACAAGGTCTTTTCAGTTGCCACTATGTCTGTAGATGATGTGTTTGCTACACTGCTATAACCACACCCAAAAAGGGACGCGGGTGGCGCTGTGGTCTAAACCACTGAGCCTCCTGGGCTTGCTGATTGGAAGGTCAGTGGTTCGAATCCCTGCGACGGGGTGAGCTCCCGTTGCTCTGTCCTAGCTTCTGCCAACCTAGCAGTTTGAAAGCACATCAAAGTGCAAGTAGATAAATAGGTACTGCTGCGGCGAGAAGGTAAATGGCGTTTCCGTGCGCTCTGGTTTCCATCACAGTGTTCCGTTGCACGAGAAGCAGTTTAGTCATGCTGGCCACATGACCTGGAAAGCTGTCTGCGGACCAATGCCAGCTCACTCAGCCTGAAAAGCGAGATGAGCACCGCAACCCCATAGTCACCTTTGACTGGACTTAACCATCCGGGGGTCTTTTACCTTTACCATTTACCTATAGACACACCCAGCTGTGCAGGCCGAAACACCTGGCTGATCTCCTAGCATGTTAGTGTGTGTGTGTGTTACTGTTGAGGATCATTTGGCAGAAGACTAGCTATACTTACTTAGGATTGTTGGTTTAAAATCCCCATGGACCACTAGAAATTAGAAGTAGCTCTCTGGGTGTTGAACAACTATAGGAAGCATCTCACTTCTATTCTGCGGGCACTTTGGGGGGAATCATGTTGTACAACAGCAGATTTAGAGGCTCTAGTTCCATAGTCAAAACTGCAGAAGTATTGCAGAACATGGGGCAGGTGTGGATGCCAAGTTGGAACAAGCCTTCTGCCCACAAGTCCCTTCTCACAAGGGCAGGAGCCATGAGGTTTTGTGAGCAGGCAAAAAGGCTTACTAAGCCATGATATAACAGCTTCAGTGCAGTCAGCGAGGGAGCTTAAGCCTTGAAAAATAAAGCACAAACATGTTTCTGATCTTCAGTAGCATTGTAAGTTTGTGTACTCAGCTCAGGGTAGGAAGTCAGCACCCAAAGCCAAACAAACGTCACATAACTCACTTATTAGTTGTGTATTCATTCATTTCAGTTATGCCCTATAAGAAGATGTACTCAGTGTAGTGTACAGTAAGAGAGATCATCATATACATATTTTTTTTAAGGACAATGTTAATCGGAACTCAAAATAGCAGCAGCAAGGACTGAGTAGCATAAAAGACCATTCAAAGAATGGAAAAATCACACCTTAAACGTCTGTCTGAAGAAGAAGGAGGAGGAGGAGGAGGAGGAAGTTTTCAAAAATCTGTTTAGGGGGTAGTTATGCAAACAAACATAGATCTACATTCCTAAGTTTTGTTTCAGTAGAGGATGAGACTACAGAAAGTGTTAAGGAAGAAGCTTCCTGGAAACAGTATGTTTAGGGGGAGACTGAAAGAGGTCAGAGAGAACCATGTAGAAGCAAAGGTGAAATGAGGTGGAGAATAGGAGGCTTGGGAGCAGCTGAGAGTGGGAGAGGAAGGCTCTATTTCCTGCAGAAAAGCACCCCTGAAATTCCGAGTTTGTTTTCCCTAAAGCCCACCCAACATGCCTCCCTCCTCTCAGCCCATGAAAAGAAAGCATCTCTTACCAGTCAACAGGGTTATGGGCATGCTGAAGGAGGTAAGGAGACTTCTCGTAGATCAGACGGTTCGTGGGACGAGCAGTGCTAGACTGGCTGCCCTTCCCTCCCGTGGCCATGGCCAAGGCTGCTCTCAGTTGTATAGATCTGCAACACCAAACACAGACAGAAGGCTATTAGCTAGGCTAATCCCCATAGCGCTAAGATCTGGATTAGCTCCAGTGCCAGGCCTCTCTGTGAGGCCGACACACCTCTCAATGAGATCAGCATCTGCACAGACTCGGTCTGCATTATATTAGTAAACAATGTAGGCTTGTCTGTCTGAAGAAGCAAGCCTAGGACTGCGAGCAATGAAACTGAAGCCTGGGGCTATCCTCTGGGGCCTGCTGCCAACCCCAAGGTATACCATGCCTGTTGACTTCAGGCACAGAACCTCCCTTGGGGTGGAGCTCCCTCTTGGAAGAGGCCTATGGCAGCAAGTGTTGTTGTGGTTGTGAGGGAGCTGCGCCACAGCTGAAAGAAAAGCGTCTCTCCTTGTCCAGTGATTCAGCTGCTGCACGACAGGGATTTTCTCATGTTAGGTTCACAATACCAGCTTTGGTAAAAGGGACGCGGGTGGTGCTGTGATCACTGAGCCTCTTGGGCTTGCCGATCGGAAGGTCGGCGGTTCAAATCCCTGTTATGGAGTGACCTCCCGTTGCTAAGTCCTAGCTTCTGCCAACCTAGCAGTTCGAAAGCACACCAGCGCAAGTAGGTAAATAGGTACTGCTGCGGCGGGAAGGTAAACGGCGTTTCCATGCGCTTTGGTTTCCATCACAGTGTTCCGTTGCACCAGAAGTGGTTTAGTCATGCTGGCCACATGACCTGGAAAGCTGTCTGTGGACAAACGCCGGCTCTCTCGGCCTGAAAGCGAGATGAGAGCCGCAACCTCATAGTCATCTTTGACTGGACTTAACCGTCCAGGGGTCCTTTACCTTTTTTTTTTTTACCAGCTTTGGTTGATTGGAGCAAACTTTGGCTATAGCCCAAGACATGCAGAAGTCCTGGTACCTGCAGGTAGATCTAAGAGTATCTCTTCCCTACTGAGCCACTGCCATGTGCCATTCACAGCCTTCAGTTATACCTCATCCATTCTCCCTCCCTCGCCTTAATTTACAAGACCTTCCACAAACACATCTCCTCTTTATTGCTCCCAAGCTTTCCGTCAATGTATACATTTTCCCCAAATTATTATCTCTGTCGTATGTTACTATAATGCACTCGCAATAGGCCACATGCTCATAATTCCTTGGCCCAGGAATGTCTTGATTCTAAAGTATTCATTATCACTTACACTGTGTTTAAAAGTGTTGTGCAGAGATTAAAAGGTAAGACCATTCCTGTCCACAGTCTCACAGTCTAATAGGCACAGTACGAAAGGAAAAGAGAATGGAGAGGGATGAAGAAAGCAAAGCAAATTCAGGTACCAGTTCCTGAAGCTACAGTTGAGATCTAAAGGAGAGTTCTAAGAGCAAACAGCCCCACAGGAAATTGAAGGTACACAACCAAACTGGACTACGACATCAAGCTGTCTCCTCTTTAAAGCTGCCACACATCCCTTATATTCAGATATCCGTTATTTCTAAAGCAGCACAGCTTCACTTAATGTAAATAGATCTCACATTTCAGAACAATCATAGTTCTGTTAAACACGGATAAGTAGAAAACGCCTTGCAGACTCCCTACTGTTGCTTCTATTTAAAATTTGATCGGGAAGCCTCTCTCGTCTCTTCCTTAAAGTCACTTGGTTACCCTTGCCATCACAAGGAAACCACACCAGAGATGCGGATTTTCAAAATAGCGTTGACTCCACCCACATTCCGGAAACGTGATTTGTGTCTAACCAATCAGAATTCACTTTTCCTGCAGAGGGTGGAGCAAGTGCAGAAAAGCTTCAGTTCAGCTCCTTTGAAAGGAATGAAGAAAATACAGAGACCGTTTTAAAGTATTTCGGGAGACTCAACACTACATTATATATCTCATAGGATGTATCTTAAGGCTATATGTGTCATGTTTTAGGTCTAAACCTCAAGTGTTTTACATGTATACACCTTTTTAAAAAGGACCTTGTGCACTTAACAAACAGGTGTCTTCATCTGAATGTATGGTTAGGGATACACCTGCATCACAGACTATACTGTATTAAGTTACATATTATTTTGCAAAATGGGTCTGGAATATATTCATGCATACTGTTAATTCTTTATAGTATTACTGTCTTTAATGTAATCGATAAAATTTGTACGAATGAGAGAAGAATGGGTGAATCTTGGGAAAGGTAGCTCTGCAAAGTTACCAAAGTCAGGAAAAGCAAGTTCCAGTGACTGGTGGCTATAAACAGGAATTTGATTTAGGCAAATCGTCAGATTAAAATTGGGAGATGAAACTGCATGTTCCTGCACAGTTGCGTCCATTTGCCTAGATCATAAAGGCCCCATGGATGGCAGAGACCATGACCTTTGAGTTACATAACCAAAAAAAGGCCTTGCAATTCTGAGGTCAAGAGGGAGGGGTGTGTGAAAGATGATACAAAGATCTTGGAATCCTGAAAAATTTCCAAGTCAGCTTTGCAGTCCCGAAAATATCTCCAATCAAGGCTGTGCCACATAATGAAGAGGTTGAGCTGAAGGTATTAAAAACGGTGGAAACTAGCCATCTTAGGGTGAAACCTCTGCAGTACTCCACTCTCTCCAAGTGATTAAACTGGGCCACTTAGGGAGAGCAACAGTCTCTAGTAACTATATTCCTTCAGAACATGTGTAAATGTGTCATAGGATGGAGTGCAGTGGATGTATAGCACAAGATCCAAGTGTCATATTACAGGCACTCTAAGCAAGCGATAGGTAGGTGTGGCTAGAGATCTGGGAGCAGCAGGAACTGTAAACACAACACCAACAATGCAATGAAGCGCGACGGCGGAAAGAGAAACTGAATGTTCTCTGCGCTCTAATAGTTAGACCGGCGGATAAATCTGCAAGTAGAACACGGCAGAGCAAACGAAAACTGCAACAAGAAGCAGAACCAGACAGGAAACCAGCCATGGAGCCCCTCAGGAAAAATACTGAAGGGTCGAGCAGAAATTCAAAAGCGCCGTTTAGCTCAAACCTCCTCTATTTGCAGGACTGGGGGACCTGGTGCCTTCCGGACGCTGCCTGACTTCAACTCCCATCAGCCCCATGGCAATGGTGTGAGGAGGGGATGATGGGAGCTGTAGTCCAAACAACACATATAGAGGGCCACTGGCTCCCGCCCCTGTCCTACTTACAAGGGGGGAAAGGGGGTCTGAGTGTGAGTGAGCGAAGTTCGCCGTCTATGTCAGCTGGGGGGCGGGACGAGGGGGGCGGAGAAGAGGGCACATGCCATGCTCTTCTATAGGGGTGGCGCCCCAAAGCGAAACCACATCGCCACCGCTTCCCCCGTAGGGCTAAATGCATTGGGCCAAGCAACGCCAACGTGCTGTGCAATCCGCAGCAGCCAAGCCTGTTCAGTTCCACCCCCCGCCTCCATGCAAAGGCTATTTGGAGGGCCGATGCTCCCCTGTGGAGTCACCCAGGGACTGCTGCTATCTGCATGTAAACAAACACCAGCACGTCGCCAATCCGGATCTAGAAGTCCCCCGGGGCCGGGAGGGTGGTAAAGCGGCGTCGCTCGCCTGCACGGCCCGGTACCTGCGAGCCCAGGAGGTTCGGCTGAGCCCAGCCCGGCGGAGCAGCAGGCGGCCCCCAGCGCGGCGCAAGAGCGCGACCGGGGCGGAGATCATGGCCCCGCTGCTGGGCAACGAAGGGCGGCGCTGAAAGGGATCCCCCGGAGCGGGTTTGGCGGGCAGAGACAGGCAACGCCGCTCGCCTAGGGAGGAGGAGCCTGGCTCTCTCTATAGCCGGGCTTGGGAGGTGGGAGTTATTCCGGATCCTCGGGTAGCGGTGCAAGAAGCGCCAGCCAGAGCAAGGGTCAGGGAACGGGTGTGACTCTGGTTTGAACCGGGAGAGGAAGGAAGTTCATCCAAGACCCGGGAAACGTATTCAGCATTTTAACCTCCTCGGGTGCCTAGTTGACTTTTGATCATTGACTTACTATTTGTGCATACTGAGGGGGAGGGGTGAAGCTGGCAGAGATGCCCATGAGAATAAAAAGTTATTTTTTATAGAACTTTTTAATAAGATGGTAGGAGGCAAAGTACTTTGTTGCAAAGGCAGCTGCTAGAGGAGGGTTGCCCGGGGAGGATAGAGAGACGGGCTTGTTTTATATATAGATTTGGGGGGTTAGGAGGAGTAGTCTGTGACATGAGGCTAGACTTAATTATGGCTCTGTGTCGTCTATAGAAGAGCAGCAACAAAAGCCTGATTTCTACCCTGCAAAAAGAATAAAATGCAAATTTAAGTCAGCATATTTCAAGGAGAGGCATAAACCGGATTGGTGAGGCAACAGCTGGCCCAGATAGGAAATCGAAGTGACTGGAAGAATTTTAAAAACAGCAACAAACGGAAATAATCCCTGTCTGAGCGAAACTAAGAACAATATGAAAGCCACAACCAATATAATATCACACAAATTAACTTCAATCTCATACTTGTCTATTCAGAAGTAAGCATTGAATTCAGTGGGACTTTGGTTGTGTACACACTCTGGTTAATTCTCCATCCAGTGCACTCTCACTGCTAGTTTGGGAAGTGGTTTACACATGATTTTAGCCACAGTCCATATCTATCCTGCTATTTCTTATGCAATACTGCATTTTGAGGCATTTCCCCTCAAAACCAGTTTCAGCTTGAATTGAGCTGTTCAAATCTGTGATAAACCTCTGCAGTGGTACCTCGGGTTAAGTACTTAATTCGTTCTGGAGGTCCGTACTTAACCTGAAACTGTTCTTAACCTGAAGCACCACTTTAGCTAATGGGGCCTCCCGCTGCCGCCGCGCCGCCGAAGCCAGGTTTCCGTTCGCATCCTGAAGCAAAGTTCTTAACCTGAAGCACTATTTCTGGCTTAGTGGAGTGTGTAACCTGAAGCGTATGTAACCTGGAGCATATGTAACCCGAGGTACCACTGTACTACAAATTCAGATTTCATGAGCTTAGGTAAGCCATGGCTTTCACTGCTTAGGGTGAGGATATTCTACTGACCTACCATACGAGGCTGTTTTAAAGATTATTGAGATGATGAACATGAAACACTTTGAAAACCTGAAGTTAGGCACACAATTCCCACCTATCCATGTCTACTTAGAAGTAAATCCTACTGCATTTCATGTAGCTTATTTTGCAAATGGTAGAGAGTGCACAGGACTGCGGTCTTTTTTCAAGCGTCTGTCTGCTTCACTGTCCACGTTAGCATCGATTGAGACAATTGGCTTCTCTATATGCTATTTTTATTTAGGTAAACCTTTGGTGGCTTTTTCACACTGTTTTCTTCTTGTTCTTTTCCTTATTACAAATGTATTTTTGAATTCATTTGGGGGTGTATTTGTTTCCCTTTGTAAGCCACTTAGAATTTTTACAAATAGAACAGTTATACTGTAGCATGTTTAAATAAATACTTTTTTATAATGTGATGTGTGGGAGAGGAAAGCAGATGGCTCTTTACACTTCCAGTAGGCAAAATTGTACTTGACAAACTTCCTTTGCCACCAAACTCTTAGCAGAACAAACGCCCCCTGCTGGTTATATGGTAGCAACTTTATTATTATTGCCTTCACAGAGGTCACCCAACTTTTATTCGGCCCGGTGGCATATTTGGAATATTGAGAGAATGTCATGCGCACTGGTCACAAAATGGCTGCCACAAGGCGGGTGGCTTGACACAAAATGGCTGCCATAAGGGTGTAGCTCAAAACAAAATTGGGAGTACAGTAGGTCTTCCTATGTTGTTGTTTAGTCATTTAGTCGTGTCCGACTCTTCGTGACCCCATGGACCAGAGCACGCCAGGCACTCCTGTCTTCCACTGCCTCCCGCAGTTTGGTCAGACTGATGTTTGTAGCTTCGAGAACACTGTCCAACCAGGTCTTCCTATAGAACAAAGCAATTTATTGTTTGGATGTGGTCGATTTTGGGCCACTCTCTGTCTTTCAGCCTAACCTTGTTCAAAGGATTGTTGCCAGGAGCTAGAGGGAGAGGGGGAGAACCATGTAGGCCACCTTGAGCTGCTATTATTATTATTATCATCATCATCAACAACAACAACCACCCGTTAGGACAAGGCAGCAAGGCAACGTACAAGGCAAGTGTTGCAGGCATCCCTTTTGCTGTTCCCTCTCCCCTATTACCGTATTGGCCTGAATATAAGCCACTCTTTCCCCCCCAAATTCCAACCATGAGAAGTTAAAAGTGCGGCTTAAATTCGCAACCTTACAAAAATTGGCTTTTACGGGACTTCCGGTGAGGCAAGATGGCAGGTGCCACTGCAGCGCGTAGCTCCTAGAACCACCAGCACCAGCATAAGACACAATTTTAACTGAGTGGCTTATATTTGGGTATTGTCTTTCTTCTTCTTCTTCTTGAGTTTTAAAGGTGCAGCTTATTTGTGGGTGCAGCTTATATTCGGGCCAAAACAGTATCAATCAAAATGCAAGAAACAGCCTATGAAGCAAGTAGGGACCACATCCACATCACTGCTTCTAACTCCCTGCCTTAAAATGCCCTTGGGGGCCAGAAAAGGAAGGAAGACAGCACCCTCACCACTTCTACCCGTCCAAATAAAAATGGTGCTTGGTGCTGGAAAAAGCAGGGAGGCAAGCCACTTCAGAAAAGGCTGCTGAATCAGACCATCTAGCTGAGCTTCTTGTTTCTCTCAGTGGCCAGCCAGGACGATGCACCTGGAAAGCCCAAAAAGATAATATGGGGGGCTTGTGCCACAACTGTTCCCCAGGGACTGGTATTCAGAGGCATGTTGACTCTGGTCCTGACTGGAGGTAGCATGTACCTATCTACATCATGGCCAATAGCCATTGATAGCCTAAATGTTCATTAAATTGTATTTTTCCCTTCTAAATTGGTGGCTGTCACTACTTCTTGGGACAGCAAATTCCTTAACGCCCTATGCATTTTTCAGTTAGACACATTAATGAAAACAACAGCTCTGATGGAGCCAATCTCTGCAGCCTTTTCTGAAGTTTCAGAGTGGTGGCACAGAATATGAGCTCTATATACTGTCAGCATCTAAAAGACATGAAGCATATTGGCTGGGGAACTGCCAAGTCAGTGAGTATACTTACCCACAAACTTGTGTGTCAGCATCTTAATGATCAGATTTAAATCCCACCCATGTCCATTTGAAACTGGGAATTTAGTCTGTTTTTTCCTATGCCTGGGCAGAAACAGATCTAACTGAAATAGTCTAATCTCATCCACCTAAAGGTTTGTTTGCTTGTTTTAATTTTAAATGGCACTTTCCAAGCTACTATATTGATTCAAATTGTGGAGGGCCACAGTGCTTGTCAGATATCATTTATGATAAAAGCTTTCACAAAATCAGAATAGCAACCAGTCACAAAACCCCGTTAATAATTGGGTTAGAATTCATTAACTTCTCAAGAGACAGCCTAAAACAGATCCTCCTTTGTCCCCCACCACTATTGTTGCTTTATATCAGGGTGGGCCATCTATGGCCCTCCAAATGTTGTTAAACTGCAACCCCCATCATCCCTGACAACTGAGCATGCCGGCTGGAGATTAATGGAGCTAGAGTCAAGAAGATATGGGGAAACAAATATTCCCCATTCCTTTCTCAACCTTCATTTCTAAGCCTCTCGCAGCAGTGATTTGTGATATCCTTATGAACCTTCCGGGACGCGGGTGGCGCTGTGGTCTAAACCACAGAGCCTAGGACTTGCCGAACAGAAGGTTGGCGGTTCAAATCCCCGCAACAGGGTGAGCTCCCATTGCTCGGTCCCTGCTCCTGCCCACCTAGCAGTTCAATAGCACGTCAAAGTGCAAGTAGATAAATAGGTACCGCTCCAGCGGGAAGGTAAACGGCGTTTCCGTGCGCTGCTCTGGTTCGCCAGAAGCGGCTTAGTCATGCTGGACACATGACCCGGAAGCTGTACTCCGGCTCCCTCGGCCAATAAAGTGAGATGAGCGCCAAAACCCCAGAGTCAGTCACAACTGGACCTAATGGTCAGGGGTCCCTTTACCTTTACGAACCTTCCAACAACTCTGCATTTTGACGACGTTTCTCTTGCCCTAAGAGCAAGGGGTGGGGGGAACCCGTGGCCCACGAAATGATGTTGGACTACAATGTCTATTGTCCCTGACCATTGGCCATGCTGGCTGGTGTTGATGGGAGCCGTAGTCCAACATTTGAAGTGCCACAGGCTCTCCATCCCTGCTTTGTCCCTGGTTATCACTCAGCTTACTTTACAGCAACCATTTCCAAAGCAAATCTAGACTACATTTCTATAATAATGCCCTTAGAAAAGATGAGATACCTTTCTACTAGCATAGTATACATACCTCATGGCATACAGTGACACATGTAGACGTTTCAATGCTGAGTAATGGGTTCATCAAAACCTATTATTAAAATCTTGTGAATGAATGGTTTTAAAAAACCAAGTTCCTTTGGAAACATTACAAAGTTCAATAGCTGGAGTCAAACAGAAAGGACTTCTCTTGTGACTGAGCTAAGAGATTATTTTATTTTAATCGCTGTATTTGGGCCCTTACAAAATAGGTTAAGAGAAAGATCAGAGCAGCACTCTCCACACTTGTGAGTCACAGCAACTGGTATCCAGAGGCTTACTTGATCTGATTATGGGTGGTTGGGGTGAGGGGCATTTTGCATCAAAATGCCATTGTAGTGCAAACCTGTCCAGTGTGGACAGCCAAAGTTATAGTGAGACTTTTTGGGGCTCCTGTGCTTGTAATTAAGAGCTTGCTTGAAACTTCTGCCTGTGTTATTGCATCTCCTTAAGCATAGCAGCAAGATTACTGATACCCCTTAATTACCATTAATGCCAATCTCTGTTTTATTTTGTTTTGCGTTTCATCACTAATGTTCTCCTACAGCAACCTGAACAAACAATAAAATGACCAGAAGCTACAAGTAGGTAACTTTTAATTAACATTGCAGAGTTATTTTGCTAACCAGGACTTCCTAATGAAGCATTATAGAAGGCCATGCTAATGGGCCCTGGCATAGAAGCAACCTGTGTCTTCCTGATCCAGTGTAAATGAAATAACTGTAGCAGGCATTAAAGAGAATCCTGTTTTTGAGATTGCTTTTATACCAAAGAGTGTTAGAGCATGTTAATTGTTGCCCGGGGAAGATCTAGGTGATGCCCTCTCATTACCTGTGCTGGCAAGCAATAAACAAATGCCTAGGGAATGCAACCATGCAAGACTGTAAATGATTTTAATTTGCCAGCAAGAACATCAGTGAATTTACCATTACATTCATCTCAAGGGGAACTACAGACCAGTGCTGAATATTATTCTTTTTAGCATGGACTGCAGAAACCCAGGCCGCTCAAATGCAGTTCAAAACAAATCAGCACACGTCTAGCTTGTTACCTTAACATGGCAAACAAGAGGTATGCTGATTTGTTTTGAACTTGAGTTAGCAGCTTTCATTCATTTCAGCTCGGAAAGGACTCAACTTCCTGCAGTTAGCAAAAGACAAAGGCTCCACTAGACTACAATCTTGTTTGTCAACACAGGTTGCTAAAGAAGACTGCGCAAGGAGCTCAAAAATCTACCTGTTTTTGATCACATGGTGCACCATGGATTCTAGTTATTAATTAGCATAAGGACATTTGCACCGTCAAGGCATTTCAAAACAGCCTGGAGGTCCAGCTCATCATGCTCTCTCCAACAGTGAATAGTCAGCCAAGCTCACAAGGAGTTGCAGGCAGGTGGGAAAATGTTTGCCTGTTGAGAGTGAGGGCAAGGGACATTACTGACACTCTGAATTGTCTTTGTACTGTTGTCACATAACCATATTTGAATGGTGCTGTCATGTCATGGCAATTGTCCATTTATACTGAGACCAAAGAGCTTTGGCCTGGCTCTGAATTGAGTGGGCTGTATAGCTGGAAAGAAGAAACCCTAGTTTTAAAACAAAGATGTAACTGAAGCAGCTGCCAATAGAGGCAGTGTGCAGGCATAAAAGAAGTAAATAGTCAGGCTATTAAAAGACAGCAGGACACCTCCTCCCCACAAGCCACTCTTTTCCTTCGAAAAGTGTGCAACCTTAGTTGAGACCCCTTTGATCAAACCCGAAGAGAAGGAAGGTGATTTAACACAGAAAAGAAATCCATTATGAAGTGTGAAACCTCAAACATATTTGAACTTTTTATTGACTTCTTATTTCCCTCCCCCCTCTTTATGTTCCATTATAGCCAGAAAAGTTGTATTGGTATGGTGATTGCTTAAGCATAGGCAACAAAACTTCAATGATTGTACCACAATGCTCTCCATGCCTGGCCCCCTATTCACATCCCACCTCAAGCTTATTCTAGCTGGATCAGTGCTCCACAAACATCTTGTCCTGCAGATGAATCTTGTATTGGCATGCTGAAATCCTAGATTAAGACACAGTTGGTAACTGGGATTTAACTTCATGCTGTACATACACTCTGTCCCTGCCATTCCAGCTTGGAAGGAGAGGTTGGCTGAATTGAAGATAACACACCTATTGATACATTTATCTCTCTCTCTCTCTCTCGAGTTTTTAAAGCAAGTTTAAGCCCCAAAATGAAATGCTCCAAGGCCATCAAGCACAATAATAAAGTTTTATCATCACGGAGTCAGGATTCCCGACATCATATTCAAACAATGACCTCCATCATTTGCCTCCATTAAAGCAGTCCAGAACTTCCTCGTGAGTTTCACAAAGTTCATTCAAGCACCCTTTTCCACTGTAGAATCTGCACTTTCTGGAGTGCCCCTCAGTCGCAGGTATCCCATGTTTTTGAGTTTGGGGCTTGAGAGGTAGGCGCTGGAGACAGCAACAAAAGTCTGTGATCAGGCATATAACTAAGAGGTTGTCCATGATGATAACAAAGGAGAAACTGGATTCCCCAAATGATTACTGAGGGGTCAAAGGAAAACGCCGTTCGGACCGAAGGAGGCAGAAACGCAAGTGGCAGAGACATTGGATTTGGAATGAAGGAACATCTGGGCAGAAACGAGTGAAACTGAGAATTGTGCTCTCCTAGTGCAAAGTGTAATGCTTCTTCATAATCCTGAGCATCCGAGTTCAGGGGCTTTTTTTTTACAAGGCAAGTTTCTAGCCTGGTTAGTAATTTGGGCAAATTTGCTGCTCAAGAATTAGAAGCCAGAAAAGGTTGGCCAGACTTCCAGTGGCCAGGTTGTTCTTGATGCAGTTACACCTCCTTCCCATAACCAGTCTCAAAACTTATCAGCTTTGCTCCAAAAATTGTAAGCAGAATGAAGGGTGCACAAAGAAGAATGTATATGCAGTTGGTCTTGCTGCTGCTGCTGTTTATTTTTACAGTCAGGTAGGTTTTCTAGTTGCAGACTGCTGAATATATGTATTTTTTTCCCCATAGCGTAACTTGAGGACAAGAGCAACTGAGGAAGAGACTGCCCTTCATTAAGGGACCCAGTGAAAGTGACTGTGGAAAAAGAAATTGGATTTCCTCCTCTAATGTATAACAGTGCTATACTTGCTGACCTATCCTGATTTCCAGAAGTGAGACTGTCATGCACGTAGTGCCGCTGCAAGCCTTGGCAAAACATTTTTGTGTTTTCCATGCAGGTTACGAAATAATTTGATTCCCTTCCCTCTGAAGGGACAATCTTCCATGAGTTAATTTTTATTTTATCCTAGCCTCTGTGTGTACCAACATAAAAGCACTGGAGAATGAAGACCCTTGAAAACTCAAGCCCTTCTTAAAAGACCTCCCATCTCCTGGGTAAACATCAAACCGAGGCCAGCTAGTGGCAGGGATGTCCCAGTTCTCCATCAGAGGCAGCAGACTCCAGGCAATGTTCAACATGATGGAGCGATTGGTTCTTCTATACGCCACCAAACAAGGAGATTCTTGCTTATGAATCTCTTTGGCTTAGGCAGAAACTAGAGAAGAGTTTCCAGGGAGACGTTTTCCCCCACCCCCATCAAAACTAATGTGCCCACAAAGCCATTTTGCATGGGAGGTTTTCCATAGCAGCTGGGGAAGGAGCAAGAGAACAGTTTGCATGACACCAACAAGAGTCTTCTCAGAGGAAAGGGTTCATACCGCCTTGAGAAGGTAGTGGCGGGGGACCTGAGCCAGACAGTGGTAGGAGAGGTTGAGGCAAGTTGCCAGGTAGCTCTGGGAAAGGCCCTGCTCCAGTCTGAGGGAAGGCACTCATGGAGGCCGGGAGGGCCATCGCTGGTGGGATGCTGCTGAGTGGGAGAGGGAGTGAAGCACTGTAGGTCATGGAGTTCATGGTCATCCCCATAGCTATGGTGGGCACTGGGGAGCTGGTCCGCATCTGGTTGAGAGTTGGTTTGGGCTGGTCCATGACGTTGAATGGGTTGGTGGGAGAAGGTGTGCTGAGACCTGGAAGAAGGAGAGGGAGGGAGAGAAGCCATCAGCACAACATTCCAAAGGTCAGAGGCCAAGGAAGTGAAGCTCCCTCCCCCTGTTTAAAAAAAATGCACATAAATATGGCAGTATCTACAACCATGTGACCCAAACACTCTAATGTTAAATAAGGAAAATGTGGAAATGTGTTGCTGAGGGTTCCCATTTTGCCACATATTTTGAGTTCCAAGTTTTGGAGTCAAAAGCAGAGAAGGCCTGAGCACCAATCATGGCAACTGGGAAATATCAACATGCCTAGTATGGAACAAGTCTGAAATTTCTGACAAGGACTGGTTTCAGTGAAGAAATAGGCCCAGTAAAAAGAGGAGGGGAGGAAGAATAGCAGCTCTGTGCGGCAGGCGTTAGGGAGCGGACTGTACAATGGGGAACTAATGTGCTAGGCTGAGTGAAATCAAATTTGGGTACCAAACAGGACTGAGCCAAGGCATGTTGCTGCCTGAAGCAAATGGTAAGATGGAGCCCCCCCCCCATTCCACATATAAACACTGACCAAACTGATTAGACTGGCAATAAGAAAGCATCTTCCACTGCACCTGAGGTCAATAGGCTAGCTCCAGGAGTGTAGGGCAGCCATGTGACACACACGGTTCTGTCCATCACATGAACACTACCTCCCATCTGCTGCCTGGGGCAGCTACCACCCCAGTTGGCCTAATGGTAGGGCCAGCCACGTTACAAAACTCTGGGCAAAACTGTGGGACAGAATTGCTAATGGATCTATTCTGCCTATAAGGCCTACCTGCCAGAAATGGATTACGAGACATCAGGTTCTGAGGGGCTGTAACCAAGGAGTCCAGATTAACCAGAGAAGAGGCATTTGGGCCAAGAAAGGCCTCTGGCGTTTTGCTGTCTTTCTTCTCCTTCTTTGAATCAGGAAGAGAGTCTCCTAAACCTGCAATATCAAAAACGTCCTTATTCTTGACTCCATTCTCTTTCGTGCTTGGAATAAGGTCACCAAACAGGTCCACATCTACCAACAATGAGAGAGAGAGAGGGGGGAGAATGTGTTATTTCTGTTCCTTATCACTGAGATACTCCATGGTTTGCCCCACATTTCCTGCTGGGTTCTCATTTAATCAATTAATTATTCAGTCCTTTCTTAGATGTACTGTATTGGCTCATCTTCAGATGAAGTTCTCAGAGTGGCTAATGATAAAAAAGATGAAATGAATGAAAACAATAGCTTGATAGATATAATAAAAAAAATCACTACAGTGGAAACACAAAAACAGAAAGCAAATGGAATAACTCAGTTGTGTGCGTCTGATCATTCTGTCAGTGCAAGCATTTCTGTTTCCCAAACAGAATGATCCCTCTCCTCCCCCTGCACAGGTTCTCCTTAACCTCCTGAATGGATTTGGGGGAGTTGTTGTGAGGAGAGGAGATGGGGAAGCCTTATTGCCCTAGTGGGAAACCTTGCATTAGCTTCCGCTAGCATGCCTGCTTAGTTGGGCCAGAGCAACAATAAAACTCCATCTCAAAGATTCTTATGCATTCTAATAGAACTACAAGGACTGGGCAAATACAAAGGTGTTAAGTTGACATCAGAAAGAGAAAGAGAATGGCACCAAGCAAATCTCTCTTGAGAAGGTATCCCAAAGGTGAGGCACCAGTTGATGATCACAACATTTGGAGAAGGGCCTGAGAAGGGCCAATCAGGCTCCTGCAGGAGAAGGAATCCTCTAGGTCAGTGTTTCCCAACCACTGTTCCGCGGCACACTAGTGTGCCGCGAGATGTTGCCTGGTGTGCCGCGGGAAAAATTAAAAAATTCGAAAGATTTTTTTTTTAAGTCAAATTTTTGATTGGGGCACCGTCACTAGATGACCCCTGGGGTTCCCTCCCTCCCTCCCGCTCTGCGCCTCCCTCCTCCTCCTCCTCCTCCTCCTCCGGGGAGGCCCTTCCTGGCTCTCGGCCAAGGCTTGGCGGCTGCCACTCACTCGCTCGCCCACCCGTCCCTCCATCCCTGCACCCGGCCTCTCCCCCTCCGTCCCCGGCGCGGGGGCTGCCGGGATCCGTAGTCCCCTCGCCCTTGGGCTCCGCGCCCGCGCAGGGTGCGCAAACTACGTTTCCCAGCGTGGCCTGGCGGGCCGGGCGTTTTGTTTGAAGCGCTCTTCTCCCGGCCATGGAATGAGCGCAGCGGCGGCGGCCGGGTGGGCAGGGGCTCTTCCGCGCAGACCCCGCGCAGCCTGCCTGCGCCCCCACGGAGATCGGGCGGCAGGATGGAGCCCGGGGATCCCCGCGGAGGCGGAGCGGCGGAGGCTGCCCCCCAGGTAGGGCTGCGTCGGGGGTTTTTTATTTTTGCAATGCTGCATCCGCGCCAGAGGGGACGCATCGGACCGCGGGGAGACCCCTTGGCGTGCGTGCAAGGCAATGCATGCGTGCAGGCGTTGCATGGAGTGCAGTGCAATGCAATGGCAACGCGGCGCCCTGCATGCATGCATGCAACTTCCACCGGCGCTCCGGACTTGGCAGGTGAGGGGGGTCCCCAGTGGGCGGCGGAGAGAGCCGGGAGGGCGAAGGGGAGCCGGGGGGGAGCAGCGCTGCTCCCCGAGCCGAGCCCGGGGGGAAACTTCGGCGTCGTTGCGCCGGGTGTTGGAAGCGGAGGCTGGCGGGGGCCCCTCACCTGCAAAACCTGGTCGCCTCTCATATATTTCGTGCATTGCATTCATCGCCCGCTTTCTCCTCCAAGGAGCTCCCGGGGGCGCGCATGGTTCTCCCCGTGTTATCCTCGCAACAACAGCCCTGCGAGGTGGGTCAGGCGAGTGGCCCAAGGGAGCACCCAGGGATTGTCCTGGCCAGGTGGGGTGATTTGAACCCTGCTCTCTGCCCGGTCTTCGTCCTCATTTAGCCCCCACATGTGCATGACTGTGCATGACTGAGGTTTTCCCCCCTTGTCTTGGCTATGGTGTGAGTCTGTGCTGTTAATTAATGGGGTTCTGCCTTCGGAGAAGATGAGCCAGCCCTCAAGGAGGTGATTATGTAATTTGCTAGCAATTCATGTCCCTCCCGGCGTGACGCTGCGCGCTGACGTCACGGGGCTGTAATGGTGGTGTGCCTCGAGATTTTTTTCATGAAACAAGTGTGCCTTTGCCCAAAAAAGGTTGGGAAACACTGCTCTAGGTCAGCCTTCCACAAGTTGGTGGTCTTGAGATCTTTTGGACTACTACTCTCATCAGCTCCAGCCAACCAGCATAGCCAGTGGTCAGGGATAATAGGAGTTGTAGTCCAACAACATCTGGGGGAGGCACCAGATTGATGAAACCATTTAGGGCTTGAAAAAGGCTAAAACCAGTACATTGGACATGGAATCTATTTCATGCTGCATTTCTGCTACAATCCTTTATACTTAAGATTCCACCATTTCCAAAGATGCACTTCTGTGCATCTTTAGGAGAAGGGTGTGTGTGACTTAACATCAGCAGGTGTACAGCCTACCAGTTCAATCTCCAGTTAAAAGGAACTTAATTTTCCAGAATAGGGAAAGATATGTGCCTAAATGCCCCTGGAGAGCTGCTGCCCATAACAACAACCATTGCTGCTGTGGGTGTGTCATTGTTCAAAGTATAAAGCATTGCTTACATAATTGTCCTAACGCTCAGCACTGCCTTCCTTTAACACACATTTGTTGCTGTCTCATCGTTCAAGTCCCACTTTAAAGCTTCTTCCTTTTTATGTCTTTTTTCTTCTATTTTGTATGGGGGGTTTTCTACTGTACTTTTTTTCTTTTTGGGGGGGGGTTTGGTTGATTGTGATGGTGTTTTTCCTTTTTTTGGTTGTGAATGTGAAGTTTGTTTTATTGTTTAAAACTTTAATAAATATCTTTTTTAAAAAAAAGCTTCTTCTCTAAGGCGTTTCCCCCCCCCTCCCAAACTCTATTACAAATTGGGACTGCTGCTAGAAACCTTTTGTGGGTAATGCATTCTAATATAACCTTTGCACATGGACATTTTTTAAAAAATCCATCTTAGGAACTCCCAATGTTACATTGGCATCAGCCCCCATCAAAAGCATAGAGCTGGAAGGCACCACCTGAAAGGCCATCTCTAGTCCTACTCACTGCCAATGTGGGAAATCAGACCAGAATGGAAACTCTAGAGCAGCTTTCCCCAACCTTGTGCCATCCAGATTTTTTGGACTACAATTCCAATCAACCTCAGGTCCTGTGGCCAATAATCGGGGATTATGAGAATAGTAGCCCAACACATCTGGAGGGCACCAGGTTAGGGAAAGCTGCTCTGGAGCTTTAAGGCTAGAACTAATCATCAAAACATGATAGGTGTAAGCAAGGGCAAAGCCATGGACTTATTTCCAGCAGGATGCATACTATGAAACAAAAGCAGTGGGAGAAGTAGTATGTGTGAAATTTACCTCCATGGCAGCCATCAAAATTATAGGATCAAAATGATGCCTGAAAGTGCATATGGAGGACCTGTCCCTTTCACTTACCTACTGGGCTGTTGGATTTCCCAGAACTGTCATGTTCTGGCTGATCCATGTGTTCAGGTAGTTTTGCAAACAAGTCAAAAGCAGCACTGCCTATGGAGGAGTTGAAGACAGAAAGAAAGCTTAGGGGAGGGGGCGCTAAATAAGTTGCCCCCCCCCTTTTGAGTGAGTAGGACTGGCTCTGTCTACCCCATCTCAACACCACTGCTGATTTAGGAGTTCGGGGAAAGCAGGGCTAACAATGAATCCCCAACGTTGTCCTTCCCAATGGAAACCAAGAACAGGGGAAAGAGTTCCCACAGGCATTCCCTTTGGGAGCTCTCAAAAAGTGGTGGCTGGGAATGTGCTTATCCTCTCCCTCCATCACCAGTATGTTGCTTGGAACTGGGAGCCCAGCAGCAGCAGCAGAGAAGAGGTGGTCCTGCTGCAGGATGTTACGTGAAGCTGCACATGGAACTCTCTCGCATCAATAGAAACGAGATACACATGCACAACCTGGCATGATAGCTGCTGGTCCCATCTCTATAACATGTGCTTCTAGGCTCCCTCCTATGGTTTGCCACTTGGGTCACCTGGAGAGATCTGCTTCTCACCCTAGGTAAAGGGACCCCTGACTGTTAGTTGCAGCGCTCATCTCGCTTTATTGGCCGAGGGAGCCGGCGTACAGCTTCCGGGTCATGTGGCCAGCATGACTAAGCCGCTTCTGGCAAACCAGAGCAGCACACGGAAATGCCATTTACCTTCCCGCCGGAGCGGTACCTATTTATCTACTTGCACTTAGATGTGCTTTCGAACTGCTAGTTTGGCGGGAGCAGGGACCGAACAACGGGAGCTCACGCCGTCACGGGGATTCGAACCGCTAACCTTCTGATCGGCAAGTCCTAGGCTCTGTGGTTTAACGCACAGCGCCACCCGCGTCCTGCTTCTCACCCTAGCTGAGTAGATAAACAGCACATGACATGGCTCACATAAAGCAAGAGAGTTGGGGAAATTGCAGCTGGCAGTTTTGAAGGAAGGAATGGGAAACCAGACAATTCTACAGCATTGAGGACTACAAGTGAAAAGGAGCTTCTCTTACCAGACGTGGAAGACTTCTCCACAGTGCCTCCCCAAGGGTCAGCAGCAGAAGCAGTGCCTGCAGGAACTAGTGCAGGGGGGGAGGACTTTCCCCAGGGGTCCGAAGAAGAGACACTCGAAGGCAGGGATTTGACCCCCCATGGATCGGAAGAGGAAGCAGAGGAGGAAGAGGCATGAGGAAGGTTCCAGGGCCCTGGAGAGGCTTGATTGGTAGAACATGCTGTCTTACTTAGAGGATCCCCTGAAGATACGGGCACCCAAGGGTCTGCCGTGGGGCCCCAGGATGTTCCCGTTGATTCCACGGTGGACTTGGTATCTGGAGGGAGGGAAAGGAGTGTCAAGGGAAACAAAATGTAGACAGGATGTGGATGGGGGAAATGAATAAGGAATAAATAAATTAAAGAGCTAGTATTGGTGAAGCTAGAAGCAGATGAATGGGTACAGCATTAGAGAGGTTACCTGATTTATGAAATCTTAGTTGATCAATTGCATGAGAATTAATTGATTAAATTTGCACAAGTTTGCACATCAACGTGTTCTGAAGAGTGGGGAACACGTTTAGATGATGCACATATATGACCCAAAAGGAACTATTGTAGAAGGAACATCTCGAGTATGAGACACAAGGTGGGGGCAGGAGAGAAAGTCCCTTCTTCCAAGATGGCACCTGCTTGTAGTAATAATAAACATGTTTAAAGAGAAAAATCTGCCTCCCCCTCCAGTAACCAGGGCACCTTCTTCATCCATAATAATAATAATAACAAACTTAAGCCAAGGCTGGGGAATCTGTTGCCCACCGAATGATGGACTCCAGCTCCCATTCGCCATGCTGGCTGGGGCTGATGGGAGTTAAGAGTCCAACAGCATCATTTGGGAGGCAACAGGTTCCCTATCCCTGATTTAAGCAAATGGATTAGTCAACGCTGCAGCCCAAAGCAGAACCATAGCAAACAATGGGTTAACATTTGCCCAAGCTGGTTGAAAGCGTGGATGGAATGGGAGAGGTGTATGGGTGGAATGGAGAAAGAAGAAAGAGGCTGCAAAGATCCTTACTGTTATGCTCCCAAGAAGTAGACAAGGACAGAGCTGGAGGAGAGAATGCTGCATCATGATTCCAAACCTCAACAGATCGATTGTTGCCCCCACCTGGAATATCCCATGGGTCAGCTGAAGTGTGGGTAGAAGAGATCGGTGCCGGTCCAAAAATGTCTGCCAGCTCCAGCACAGAAGACTGGAAAGATACAAAGGGATAAAATGTATTAGGACCTAGAGATCCCAAGAACGTGTAGACTTCAAACTGCACCAAGACTGTACAGGTTTGGAAGCTATCAAAAAAGCAGAGGGCTTCCCTCCACTCTCCCGAGGCATGGTGTTGCAATTTCTCCCTTCCTTAAGAGCTTCAGAAAGTAAAATTATACACAAGATCCCAAGCTATGAGTGTGTGAATGGTCTCTTAATTGCTTGATGCTGTTGGATTGTTAGAGCTAACACCAATGCATGGAAGAAGCATTGGTACCTCATTGTAAGCTCTTCTGAGTGTAGCAGGATCTATGTGCAATAAATAGATGAATAAATCACCCAGTGGACTTGGCTCCAGATTACAGTGGTATCTCGGGTTAAGAACTTAATTCATTCCGGAGGTCCGTTCTTAACCTGAAACTGTTCTTAACCTGAGGTACCACTTTAGCTAATGGGGCCTCCTGCTGCCGCCACGAGATTTCTGTTCTCATCCTGAGGTAAAGTTCTTAACTCGAGGTACTATTTCTGGGTTAGCGGAGTCTGTAACCTGAAGCATCTTAACCTGAAGTACCACTGTTAATGGAGTATGAGCAACTGACCAGTTTTCTTCAGTTTCACTGTTAATTGTAGGGGAGACTCTCAGGATAAATTCTCACTCTGTAACCAGCAGTGAGTGGGAAGGACTTCAGCCCCAGGATTACCAATCTGCAATTTCCATCTGAAGCAGAAGCCACCATAGATACTCCAGAGAGATCAGTGGGGCTAGCAGAGGTGGAATACAAATTGGCACACACCAAAGCAAGTATTTATGTATGTCCACCACAATATAACCAAGCAGCTGGTGCCTCCTACCTGACTTTTCTTGGTCTTTTCTTCTTCTTCTTCTTCCACACCCTGGTGACTTTCTTCCAATGCCCTCTGCAGTAGTGAGTTTTCTCCTTGCCATGCCCTCACTTCCTGTAATCAAAATGAACAGCCAACGGGGTATGAGCTGAATACAAGAAAAATGAAAGATTATTTCATACTGGTCATGGCCATCATTTAGGTAAGCGTGGCAACTGCCCTTTCCATTTCCATACTTCTATACCCCATGTTAAACTGTTCTCTCTTAGGAACAGTTAGTTTTTAGAACTATGTAAGTTATATAAAAAAAAATACCAGCCAGAAAAGACCCAGAAGGCAGAAAGAAGCGGACATAGCTGGGGGTGAGGTAGGAATTGGGGGAGGGCGGGTCTAGAATTCTTTCATCTTAAAAAGAAAAGTGAGAAGGTTTTGAGTCCAAGGGCCAGTTGCAATTTTACATATACTTACTTGGAAATAAGCCCCATTGAGCCCCATGGGGCTTATTTTCAAGTAGATATGCTTTGGATTATGTTTGGTGTTTCATTATCAATGTGAAAAGAGGCAATTTCACCATCCTTGGACTGATTTTCAAATGTTGGGTTTCGACAAAATTCCACAACTGATCAGAGTTATCCAGAGATACCCAGTCTTGAGTTCCCAAGTCTCTGAAATGATCTCCTATGCGAGTCAAGATTTCTTTCAGAACCGTGAGGACCTGAAACCTCATTGTTTTACACATGGATATTTTCTGGAAATACCAACTCTGAGGCCTGTGGCAAATGGAACAAGATGTACAGAATTTCTAGACTCTGGAGATAGCAGCATTGTCTCAGGAAGGAGCCACCAAGCTTAGGCCAAAAGCTTTCCCACTTAAAGAGGCGTGAATTCAAGAAGAGGAAAGTTAAAAGTGCCCTTTCACCACCTGGGTTTGGGATACCTTCTCATGCTCCTGTTTGCTCAGGGTAAGCGCTATCTGTAATTGCAAGTCTTCATCTGTGCTGGAGACTGGAGGAAGTGGCTGCTGACAATGAAGGAGAATTGGGTAAAGGTTTGTTCCTGCTCCAGGACTTTGTGGTCAGTCATTCATTTCTGGGTCACAACCTTCCAAACCCACCCCCTTACCCTTTATAATCAAAGAGCAAGATGGCTTTGAATCCAGCCATGCAACTGTTCAACTAGTTTTGCCCATTTAGATACTCATCCCACAAATCTTTAATTCTTTCACGAAGTTTGCAGTCCCTCCCCTCCAACCCTTGCTTCTATTTCTTTCCACCCACACCCATATATTTACACATGGCTTGCTTACAATAATGCTAAATCACCTCTCAGCAAAAAAAATAAATTAATAAAAAGCAGCTGCTGCCCAAACATTAAAAATGCAAGCATCCTAATAAATCCATAAAACAGTAACTAAATAAAAGCAACCATCACCTGGACATGAATGATGGTAGCTAGGTTTCTATATTTCAGTCATAGGAGGTGCAGATGGTGAACTAACTAGAGCTGGCACTCTGATTCATGGCCACCACCTGAGAATCTAAGAGCATCCTCAAACTATGAACCTTATGGATGTGTGTGATCCTAATCAAGGACTGGTATTTCCTCAGCCAACAAGCATTTCAACCAAGTTCTCCAGATACTAGTCTCTCAAATCCTTGCCCAGAAATGGCAGGAGTTGCTTTCATTTAATTTGTAAAAGATTTCTACACTACCCTTTAATTAAAATTGTCCAGAGTGCTTTACAATAAGGTAAAGGTTAAAGACTGGCCTACAGTTACCCAAGGTCAGCCAGGTCTATTGGGGCTTCCCACCCACCCACCCCGCTTCCCAGCAGGAAATGGGTCATTTCCTCATTTGAGGCAGCAACCCTAAAAGCAGTATTCACTCTTCTGCCATTCAGACTAGCCAGCCTTCCATAGCTGGTCACCTTCTGCCAGGAAGGTCAATAACTGAAGAGACATAGGGTTGTATTCAGTGCTGAGCCTGCTGTGCCCTGCTCATGAAACAGAACTTCTTCCTCTCCTCCTCCTCTTGTTCTGTATGCCCCAGAATTCTGCTCCAGAGGGTCCCCTAACTCTCTGGAGCACATCTTGACTGTGCATGGGTCAGGGATGCAGGGGGAAGAAAAGGAAGGGGAAATCCTGTTGTATGAGCAGAACAGCAGCGTTGGCTACAACCCATCTTCTGCTTCTGTCCCAGAAATGTCTCAGTACCTCATCTGCCTCTTCCCGTGAAATCAACGGAAGCCCATCCAAGCAACCTTGAGTAGCAGTGGCAGAGCTGGCAACCAATACGGACACTGAGCTCAATGTGACATCCAAGTCATGGCAGATGTGACTCAGTTTATCTGCAAAATGTTTTACAAAGAAGTCGCAGTGGGCTACTGATGGTTCTGTGGCTGGGATGCAGAACAAGTGGTCCTCTAGAGATGTTGCTAGGCTACAACTCCCATCATCCCTGACCATAGGCAGTGCTGGCTGAGGTTGATGGAAGCTGGAGTCCAACAGCAACGTCTCTTAAGTCCACAGGTTCACCATTCCTATTACATGTGTTCATCAGTGGGTGGTTGTTTCTGAAGGAGCACTGCCATGGCAGCAGGGAGGTTTTTGTGCATTTCCCACAAAGCCAGAAAGCTCTCCTTTGCCCTACTAGACCACTCAAATGCAAACACCTACATATAAGAAAACAATCCCAGTAACCTTGCACAGACCTAGAACACCAAGATCTCAATCTACAATTAACAATAATGCACCAACAGCTTGTCATGTTGCACCCAATGACTTTCTACAGCTTTCTTCTTTTTTTAACCCTGGTGCCTGCCTACAGCTTTGGTTTTTGTTTGGACTTTTAGCAAGCTGGCTGGCTTCCCAAGGTAATGTAACCTGAGAGCTTGCCTTGCTGGCTGCTATGACCCTTCTGTCCTTTCTTCGGGCTGGAGCTTATCAAGTGTCTTCCAAAACCCAGTTCCCTACAAGGAGGCTGATCAGCAAGCAAACAGACGGTGGCACCAGCAGGGACGGCTGCTTTGTTACCCTAATAATGGGGGAAAGCACAATCACACTTTTGTGGCAATACAAACAACAGTCATCACCATTCCTTGCAGAGACATAGCCCTTTCAGGCACCATCATTAACCCTGCCTCGAGAAAGACTGTTACAAGCAACAATCATTGATCTCATGCTTTTAATTTGCCAAATGCTTCACAGAACTTATTGCCTTTGGCCCCACTCTGGTTCTAGTTGAGTGTGGGAAAAGGTGGTTCCAGGTAAGGATACAGGTCTCCACATCCATTAGAAAGGCACATCCCGCCAATTCAGCCAGCAAGCATTATGGTGCAAGCAAGGATGTCTATTGAACTGCCTATGTCAGCCATTGTGTTCCAAATCTCGCCCAAGAAACTGTCTGATCTCTGCCCCTGGCAACTCCTACACAAACACAAATAGTAGTTAAAAAGGAAACAAAAAACAAAAAACAAGATCCCAGCACTAGCTGACCTAGATGTTCCTCCACCGAACAAAACCATCAGTCATCTCTTTTCTTTTGACTTGGGCTGTGACCATACCAGAATCACTGCCATTGGGGGAAAGACTGTCCTTGGTCATGTGTTCCTTAATGTATTGTTTCATTGTTGGCCCAGCACAGAATGTTTCAAGGAACTCGGTGAGCTTTTCATGTTGCAACCCTGCATACTGTACATAACTGGGGTTCCTCGTTCCTGGTGAATGTTGTTCTTTTCCCTATTTAGCAAGGTGTTGCAGGGGAAGATTTAGTGACTTTTTAAAAATGACTCCAGAGTTGCGCACAGATTTAAACAGGCCTTCTTTAAACATTGCTAAATACAATGTGGATATTTCTGCATTCCAAAATTACTACATTTGCATATGTAATTGCTTCCCATTCTGATTTAAATAATAATAATTGCGATGGACAAAGCAGGAATAAGGGACCCAGGAAAAACTGAAGGCACTGCATAATATGTCCCTTGCTATATTCAAGTGATGTACTGCTAAGCCTGCTATTTATTTTGAGATACAAATTCCCGTATTAAAAACAACAACCCAGAAGTAGAATACACAAATCAAGATGGGACATGAATACACAGTGATATTGGATGCAAGTTTTGAATGGGAAGCAGAATTTTCCTGCCACTCTCCGAAACCTGAGCATTTGAGAGAGAGCAAGAGAGAGTTGAAAGGCACATCAAGTATGGGTTGGGTCTTGTTGACCCTAGTAAAGCTGTTTAACCCACAGCGCCCCCCACGTCCCTTATGGGGATGCTTATGTTGCAATAAAGAAACGTGAGCACAAAGCTAATAATACAGTAAACTACAGGAACTAGACAATGCAGGAGGTGAATGTGCTATCCCACCTTGCGGTTTTTCTTTACTGTCTAGAATACTGCACTCCCAACCACCCCACCCTATTTTGTTTTCATGAAAACTCCTTCATCACACACAGCTGAGCTGTTTCAGCCTTTAACTACTGAGAAATGCCTACCCAATACAGGTGATACAAAGGCAACAAGTCCAAACTAGTTACTTGTGGAGAAGCACAATGCTGTCATGTGCTAACTTTAAGCTCTCTGAATGCCCGTGCCTAACATGATCGCCCCTAGGCAGTCATTCTAGCATACCGCCAACTGGTAGACAGCTCATAGCTAACTTGCCAGCTGGCAGATAATTTGGGCTCATTATTGACTGGTAAGCACAGGTAGTGAAGGCAGTGATACTAATAATGATGTGTTTGCTTGTCTGTTTGGTTACACTGGGGGGGGGGGAAACCCTTCAAATCCTTCACCAACTAGGAAACAGTCTAGCTTTGTAGTAGGGACATTTGCTGGCAGGAACAGACCCTTGGCTTAGCTCCAGCTGAAGCACACAGTAATAATACAATTTAGTACAGGACTTCTCAAGGGTGTTCGCACACTGCGTTCAACAAGTGTACCATCTGTGTACACAAGCAGTTGAGCCTTGCACTCGTGCAATAACCTGCATGTAACATTCAACCTATGTGTGCAATAGGTGAGCTGTACAGATCAACAAGCATACACACTTTCACACAAACACATGTGCATGTGTAGAGGCACCTTGTAGCTGTGTTCAGTGGGACATGTGAACAAACCTTCAGTCCACTCTTCATCAGTCCAGTGATCCAACCCACAATGCTATAGAGCCCTGACACCAATGTGAACACCATCGCAGGGCCCCTGGTGAGTTGTGGTGGGAACAGGTGATATGAAAAACTATGAGACCAGTATGAGGATGGCCTGAGCCCTAGCGCTCACCCCAAGGAATCTCCACTGGCACAGGGGCTGCAGAATGCTGGGGAGCCACAATAGAGTCAGCACCTATTCAGAATGGAGCTCTGCCAGTATGATGTACAAAACGGGGAGTGAACCAATCCCTAGATACAAGGCATAAGAGGTTAGCTGAGCTTTTAAGTAAAGAAAAAACCTTACAGCGAACAGAATTCATCAGTACGTGTGTCGGCACAATTGTGTTTCCCAACAAATGTAAATCAGCCCCCAAACTAAGTATTGGGGAAACAAAAAGAGGGCTTCTGGAGGTAAGAAAAGAGCAAAAGCAAGTCTACTCTAAGGAGGAAAAGGGGAAGGTGAGTTACTTTGGAGGGGGCGGGATAATAATAGAACACATCGTGCTAAATGTGCATGTGTGAGTTTCATTTGTCATCCCCAGTATGAAAACAGAAATTGCTGTGTAGGAGAGAACAAAGGGTTATAGCTGCCATTAGGTATCACTGGCCTGTTTTCCAACTCTGCACCTAACAATTAAAACAATTAGAAGGATATGACTGCATCCTCATGATTATACTGTGGGGCGGCCTAGTCATTTGCTGCATCACTGAATGGAAGGGTTAGCCATCCTTTTCCAGGTTAAAGGGATTAAGCCCTGATAGTTACTACAGCTCTTCCGATACTTTAGCCACACCCTCACACTGACACACTGACCCACCACCCATTCTGTTTTTCCCTCCTTCTGGATCTCTACTGGGGCAGGGACTGACTGACTGACTGACTGGCCTGGAAGAAGGACAGCACTGTTACCCCAAAGGTGGACTCTTGTTTTAGAAGAATTAATCTTTGAGATATTATTGGTATTCGTGTTGTTGGTGTTGTTGTTTGGGAATGGACTGGGTATGTGGCCTATCAATTAAGCCGCCTTTTAGTAAGTTTAGAGTTGTTATCACAAAGACCAACACAAGTGTCTCCCCCACTGGAGGTTAATAAGAAGGGGAAGGGGGATAAAGTAAGAAAAGGTCCCACATGCTGAAACCAACTATTGGCCTGAGAATATCCCTGAGGTCCCCAGCGTAGCACTCGTGGGCCCCATGGTGCCTTTTGACACCTCCCCTGAGTCATTAATTTTGGGGAGGTGTTCTTGCTTTTTTGCCAGTTCCCCCACCTTGAGCACTGCCAGCTGTGAAACTGATACTTTGTAGCACCCCCAGCATGTTCAATTGCTCAAAATTTGGGGACCTGGTAGAACTTCTCCCTCATCTTCCCACAATCCCACCTGCATTGCACAGACTGAAGGTGGTGGTGCTCAGGGAAGTTAACATGAGAGTGAGACATGAGTCCGTTGGGTGTAGCAATCAGCCCTTACATGACTAAGGAGACTCTGCCGTTAAACTAGTGTCTGAACTAACTGTCCATGTCACCATCTTTTAGCCTGACCCACCCTGCGGGGTTGTTGTGAGGGTGAAAAGAGGAACGAGCCCCCACTCACACACCCTTGAACCTCTTGGAGGAATTGCAAAAGACAATACATTGCCGTCTTTGAATTTCATCTCCATTACTCATCAAGGAACACACAGCAGCAAGCCCCAAGGTCTCCTTAGCTAGAAAGGTAGGAGACTGTTTAGTTGGCACTTCCGTGAAGTGCGCAAATGGAGTCTGGTGTATCCAAGCATAAAAGGGCACACTGCAGGCATGATTCAGTGAGAATTGAAGATCCTTGCTTTCAGGAGCAAAGGAAGAACATTACTCTGCATGACAGAGGATGGCCCAGGTAGGTGGGAATGCTGTCACTTCCACTTGGCTGTGCAAGTTTGTTAAGGACACAAATAGCCTTCCCTTCCTCCCCTGCCTGGCTTCTTCGCAGTGGTGGAAGTTCTGAGAGCTGAGATTCTGAGAGTTCTCTTGCTCCAGACCAGACACCCTTCGCCCTCGGAAATCTCACACCTTTAAGGGCTGCTTCCCATTTTGCATTTCCAATCGCACGTAATAGTTGGAAGCAGCTCTGCACAGGTCCAGAATATGTGAAACCGGACAAAACATTGTAGGTATTAAATTTACAGCACTTGCAGTCTCCATACTTTATTATAGTCATGTGTGGTGCAGGGTGACCACCAGTAAATATATATATATCGACTAACACCACCAAAACAAAAGAGGACATGGAATTAGATAAACTTGGATGCAGTGAGTTATATGCATTGATAGAAATTTAGAAACAATTACTGTAAGAGTTCAATAGATATATAATGGGAGGAATTCATCTTAGAGCTAAGGAGACTGCTCTGTCTGTGCAAGCATTTTCTGCTTGCCTGATGGAACAATCTGCCCTCTCCTCCCTGCATGTGGGGTTCTCCTGATTCCCCTGCCAAACCAATTTTTTTTGTGTGTGGGGGGGGGAGCCACATTGCACTAGCAGAAGTCAATGTGTGGCCTTGCACTGGCAAGACTTGCCAGCTGAATCCAGCTCCACGCATCTCACCATATCAGGGAAGACTATGACCGGGTGACCTGGGTACCTATTGAGTTTACTGCCCAGGTGTTCACACTTGATGGACAGTGCCTAACCCCCTGGTCTCCCTTTTTGTTGTTCCTCATCTTTAAACATTCTTGGACCAGACCTCAAACAGAGGGAGCCTTCAAGTAAAGGACTATCCTCTAACAGCATTTCAAATAGAGGGTGCAAAGTAGGACTCATGACCACCCTAGAGTGGTGGTTCTCAAGAGTAAATATTTTCTGACTGCTCCTGAATCCCATAGGAAACAAAGGGGTTCAATGGGGCTAATCCACTGGGGCAAATGGGACATTGTACCAACAAACTCAGTCTGCCCACAACCAGCCACCATCTGCCTGCCTTCTTAAAACCAGTTCAGCGGGTTGGCGCTGGCTACCAGCTTCCTCTCAATGTTGCCCTTGTAGAACTTAGCAGGGAGAAGGATGGAGACAGAACTAGAATCACTTTGCTGCTGTGGCAAAAAGAAATATATTGGGCAGGAGTGGAGAAAGCAGCTGTTCAGAGCTCATGTTCAGGAACAAATTATAATTTGCACCACACAAATGGTGTGGTCAATCTTCTCTTCAGTCCAGTGAATTTGGCTGATCCACAGCGATGGGCAGTGAGCACTCCTTTCATTCAGTGAACTTTGTAGCGGGTCTTTACCCCCAAACACAAATTCACCCTTTAGGACACTTCATTTAATTGTGCTAACCCTAACCCTCCAATTTAATTTCCGAATCTCATCTCTGAGATGGTGCTCCTGCTCAGCAAATGCCTTGATAAGCTGTCTCTTAAGGCTTGGGTTCCATTTTCCTCAATGAAGCTCATGGATCATTGGGCAAATCATTCACCAAATTAGAGTAGGTCCAAAAGACCTCTGGAACTCTTCTATGGGAACAGAAGGACTATATTGGGGTGGGGGGGTTGCCTTTGAAAGTTATCTCTCAGAAATTCTAGGAATCTTGTTTCCAGAATGCCATGCTGACACAGGAGCTGTTCCCCAGCCTTTCAGCTAGCTATGCTGACAGAGAGAAGTGATGTTGACATTGACCGATTTCTCCTAGAGCTTCTCTTAGCTATCAAGACATTCCTCTAAGTAAGCAAACAATGGCCATATATCCATCAAGCCCAGGGAGCAATATATTATTATTAAAATGAAATGCAGTAGATGGTGGTCTGTTCTCGATTACTCTGTGAGATGGCTTCATTTAAAATAATGTAGACTCAGATTAAAGGCTTGTGCCAAGTTTCCCATGAAGATACTTCTCAGGGCCAACATCCAAAATCCATGATGAGTTATTGTTACATCTTAGCAAGGCTAAGATGAAAATTATTGTTACAAGAAGAATATCCATGGACATTTTTGCGCATGAAGCAAAATAATCAAAGTGTGCCCAATCGGAGAAGTGATAATTAGGCTCCCTAAGAGACTAGGATGTGAGCTGGCTTTAGCAATGTGTGTGGTAAAGACAGGAGTGCTACTGTGGATAGCTTATGTGTTTTTTCAAGGAAACAGGTCTTCACAAGAATATGCTGGTGAGATACTTTCAGTCAAAGCTTGAGAGAAGCATGTATGCTGTTAAATGTGGGATCCCAGCCCCTCCAGCCAACATTTCAAGACTAAGGCAGTCTTTCCCTTGCCACCTTCATGCTTCTCCAATGTCACTACTCGTGTCACTTGACATAAGAAAGGCCCTCAGAGCTAATCTTGTGTTTGGTGCATGTAAACAAATGCTTGGGCCACCTCGAAAGGGAGAAGCAGATCAGCTGATAGGAAGGCTGCTCGTGGAAAGCACACAAAGGGACTAGGTCGCTGGACTGCAACGGTGAAAGTCATTTTAAATTAAGCAAAACTAAAAGAGCTTAAGAAGCGCCACCAGTCAAAATGGCAGATTGCTTCTCTATCAGTGCTTCTTTCTAACGCCCAAAGGAGAACTTGCACAGATGAATTGCAGAGGCAAGAGGAGTGGGCATTAGGAGAAGCTCTGGAAACCGAATGTGAAAATGCAACATTTGATTTAGCTGCATGGTGGTGAGTGAAGTCCTTCGTTGAACCTCCATATTGCAGAGCGCAAAACACAATGAAAAGGAAGTGTGCATTCCCTTTCCCTGTGAAGTATCCAGAAGTGCTATGTAGGCGGCACTCCTGCAGCAGCTAAGTGCTACAGTGAGCCTCAACCAGCATCCAAAAGACCTACATAGTTCATACTGCGCTATGTTCTGTCCCTGCCACTTACAATGCCTAAGAGAAATAGCTGGCTGTTTATAGCTGCCATGAAAAAAACAGCAGGCACAGTTAAAAACATTGAAAGCCTAAGTGAGAGATTCCTACATATAAGATCCCTGCTGCAATCCATGAAGCACTGACCCATTGTGATAGCCATTCCTTTCCGTGTCAGGTGCATTGCTCCCAGACCACACAAACAAAGCTCCAGAATGCAGTACAAGCTACACAAAATTACTCAAAAGGAAGTCCAACTGAGATCAAGGGGACTTAACTCTCAAAACAAGTGCACATAGGATTGGAATCCTAGTCCTTTTATTTTCATTAAATATGAGCCTTAAAGGACCTTCATCATGAAGAAGGGAAGATGGAAGGTACAGGCTTTGTCTATAATAGCTTTATCTTCCTGATTTAAAGCACACTCGAGTCTATCGTCAAAAGGTGCCCGCAGTATAAGAATGCTAAATCAACAAAGCAATAAATACCCATCATGATGTCCTGAGCTGATGAGGCTTACGTGGAGCAGCCAATAGGAGATGAGAGCCGCACATACAGCAGTGGGAAGCATCCACAAATCTCTAACATGCCTTTCTCACTGATAGTTTTTCACTGATTTAGAGGCTGGGGACATGTGGCCCTGGAGATGTTGTTGAGCTCTAACCGCCATCAGCCCCAGCCAACTGGTCAGTGATGATGCATGTTGGGAGTCCAGAACCAGCTACTTCACCCCTTATTTAAACCACTGGTTTACAACAACACCTAGAAGGAAGCTGAAACATTACCTTCTCTGCTTCTTCTCGACTCATGGCCAGGGCAAGCTGGAGCTGGAGCTCCTCCTCTCCAGTCGTCTGTGGCCTTGCCTGCTCCAGGTCAGAATTGAACCGAGGGGATGAGGAAGAGGCTGAGGGACAAGAAAGAGATGAATTAATGCTGCAAATGGGATGGAAGCCAGCTGGGGGCTGCTGAACATGGTAGCCCTTCCAGAATCTGACATTTGCCTGACATGGCATTTCCCATTCTACCCCCTCCCCTCCTTTTGCAGATTAAGTTCATGATTTGAGACTGCAGGTCCAAGTTATTAGACTGCTGGTCCAGGGGAAAGGTTATACCTCATTAATGGAGCATCTGTAATGCACACAGAAGGGTCCAGGTTCAGTCCCTGGCATCTCCAGGTAGGGCTGGGAGAGACACCTTGTCTGAAACCCTGGTGACTGGATAGCTCAGTGGGTTAGAGCATGGTGCCAATAACGCCAAGGTTGCAGGTTTGATCCCTGTATGGGACGGCTGCATATTCCTGCACTACAAGGGGTTGGACTAGATGTTCCTGAGGGTCCCTTCCAACTCTTCACTTCTACGATTCTATGAGTCGGTGCCAGTCATTGTGGACCAATGGATTGACTTTGCACAAGGCAGCTTTTCATACTCCTATGTTCATATGAGGGGCAATGGGAAGAGCCCGAGGAAGAGGAGCCCTTTTGTGTGCAATTGCATTCAGCTTTAGGAACTTGAAGGTTCCTGTTGTGTTTCCACAGCATCATCCTTCTTGAGGATGACAAGAAGAGCAAAAGTATGTTGCTAGCTGCCCATGCTAAGGGTCCCTGATGTACCAGGACGGTGACCAAGGGACTATATGCTCCAGCTATGCAGGTTCCAATGGGAGGAATTCAGCATTGCAACTAAGGAGATACAAGCATTTCTGCTTGTCTGGTGAGACAATCTCCCCTCTTCTCCCTCTGTGCACTTCCTGCAGGTTCTCTTGACCTCCCCCACCCCCCGCAGCTAATTTGTGGGGGAGAAGAAGAGAGGGGGCTTGTGGAAGTCCTTGTGCAGGCTCCACTAGTGGGAATCTGACACTACGTCCCTAAGTCAGGCTACACTGCCAAGCAGCAGCTCTCCAGAGCTTCAGGCAGGTGTCTCTCCCAGACATGTGTGTGTGTCACTTTCTCTCATGCACAGTGAAGTCAAAGGATTCATCTATATCAGGGCTGTCCAACTCCCAAGAGACTGCGATCTACTCACAGTATAAAAAATCTGACAGTGATCTACCCATTGTCATTGGAGCCAGAGTTGTTGAGCTTTTTTTAATTATTATTATTATTATCATCTAAATTATCTATATAGATAATAATATTATAGACTTAAAGCAGAATCCTACTTTGTACACCTCACTATGTTGAATGGGGCTTATTCCCAGATAAGCAGGAATAAAATCACACCCTCAGATGGCAATTCAATGGCAATTGAACTGACAGGAAGCTCCATTGAACAAGGGGTACTTGCTTTGCATCATAGACATATCCCTTGAAAACTAAAGTTTTGACTCTAAAGTTGAAGTTGTAACAGCAACTAGCTAGCAAAAATTCCAAGAATTGGAATCCTCCAAGATAAACATAAATCACATCACCACCTGCTCTAATTCCAATTCACCCGTTAGAATAGCTTGTTTGCATATCAGTTAACTGTGCTGGGCTGAAAAATAATGTGAGCAGAAATGTGGAGGCCAAAAGGTTGGTGGTCTCCAAGGATTGGGTACCTGTTCCCCTTCAGATGTGTTTGGACTCCAGTTCCCATCAGCCTCAGCCAGCACGGCCAATGGTTGGGAGTGATGGGACTTGTAGTCCAGCAACATCTGGAGAGCTTCAGGTTCTACATACAGAACAGAGGACCCTAGAAACAGCTTCATATAGCTGGTTCTTCATGCCCAGGTCTTAATACACAGAGGCAACAATCACCCCAATCTCATTCTCATACTTGCCCTACTTGCATCAAGAGACTGGTCACCCCTGTTGCTGCAGTGATATTAATTTCAATCTCAGACCACTGAGGCATAGGTAATGCCAAGGTGGAAATCTATTGTGTAGATTGGCCCCCAAAGACCCCTTTACAAAATTCTTAAATCAAAGGCACCTCTTTGTAGGAGTTAACACGAAACCCATTTGTAGATTGTAATGTGTAGTGATAGCATATGTGTAATGTGCATGCTTTTAAAAGCTGAGGCCAATTACCATTTAGCACTGTCATGCGACTTGATTATCTCCCTGTGCATTGCATGTCATTTCCATAGGAGAATCTCCTTTTTAAGAACTGCATAACACATGGGTGGGGAATCTGCCCTTTGGATGTTGTTGGGCTCCGACTCCCATCAGCCCCAGACAACACGGCCAATAGTCAGGGATGAAGGGAGCTGTAATACAACTAAAGCCACAGGTTCCCAACACCTGTTGTAATGTAAATGCCCCTGTACTACCTACAGCAGGCATTGTAACACAGGACTTACAATCTTCCACCTAATCCTATTTCTCCCTACAACTCCTCCCAAGTTCTATCTTCACAGTTAGAGGGGGAGAATCTGAAAAATATGCATGAAGGTTCTGCTTAGAACTTGGAAAGCAGGGGGGAAATTGGTTGGAGCTTCCAGAGATTCTGAAGGCAGAAATGTTAAGAAGAATTTCTGCACTCTGCACAGCTCATGGTTTCTCTTCATGGGCCCTTCATGAGAGCCAGTGTGGTGCAGTGGTTAAGAGCGGCAGCCTTGTAATCTGGTGAACCGGGTTCGCTTCCCCGCTCCTCCACATGCAGCTGCTGGGTGACCTTGGGCTAGTCACACTTCTCTGAAGTCTTTCAGCCCCACTCACCTCACAGAGTGTTTGTTGTCAGGGAGGAAGGGAAAGGAGAATGTTAGCCGCTTTGAGACTCCTTCGGGTAGTGATAAAGCGGGATATCAAATCCAAATTCTTTCTTATCCATTCCACCCAGCTGCCCTTTACTTCCCAACCGCAATGCTAAGTAATGGCAGGAATGGTCCTGCCAACTTTCCTTATTTGATCATAGGGGAAACGCAGAATACCTTCCCCGGAATGCGTATCTTGAAAACTGCACACATACTTATTCTGTTCCACCCACACAACCAGGTGCCCCAACAACTCCCCACCTGGGAAACCAAGACCATTCACAAATGATACGAGGCATTCATGCAGACCGCTCCACTGGCAAAGGTGGTGGTCAGAAATGCAGCCACAAATCTTGATCCACCAGAGACAAGGCAGCTCACCCATGACACACTTCACTACTCACAATTAAAGGAGGACGGAGACTCTCTTGACCTGCCGTAGTCTTCTCCGTACTGTGACGCCCGCCGCCCATAGGCAAGCTGCTGGCTGTTGCTGCTGCTAATCCCCATGCCTTCGAGGGACATCCGCTCTTTGGTTTTCAGGGCATAGGCTCTCTCCTGCTTCAGTCTCTCCTCATCCTTCAGCAAGCCCATCACTTGCTTTACCTTTTCCCGGACATTGATGCCCTGGTCCTTGCCATCGCGGTCTATGTACTGGAACTCCTTTAAGGTCTGGATGGTGTACAGGTTCTCCCGGCACTGGTGGGCCACCTTCTCTGAGCCAGTTTTGATGAGGTAGTCCAGAAGAGTCAGTGCCTTGTAGACATGGCGCCAGTTCTTGCCACTGTCGTTCAGCCGCCTCCAGATCATGCCCATGACCTCGGCAAATGCCACGGTGTTGAAGGTCAGGTCTGCAATCTCGGACATCAAGGAGCTCGGGGGGCCCCAGGGGTCATTGGAGGTGGCCTCGCGCACCTTGATCTCTGCCTCAGAGTAATTGTGCACAATGTTTTTCACCTGCCGGCGCAAGGCAGAAGTAGTCATGGTTGAGCCCTGGAGGAAGATCTCGGCTTGCGGAAAGGAATGGCTGGATTGGAACCCAGAAAGAGAATCAAAACCTTGGTGTAATCAATTAAAAAGATGCTGATTCTTCAGGTTGATCTGGAAAAAAGGCAATGAGATACGCATTAGGGCTGTTGACCAGTTCATTTTAGCCAAGTCAACCCTGCAAATGGGACAGACATGTTTTATTGCAGGTGGGGCAGCTAAAGGCTTTGACCAGTAATCAATACATGTAAATCAGAATATTCATTTAGCTACAGAAACATATTTTCTTCCCCTCATACAGAGCCAATGTATGAGGGATAGAAAGGGCCAGTGAGAAGTGTGGCCTAGGGGAGTTTTGAAAGGCAGACAGAAAAGTCTGGAGGCGAAATTTGGCCCCTGGGTCTGATGCCCTACAGGGAACAACTCCCAGCCAGTAATAAATTATAGTGGCTGAGCAACCCAGAACAGCTGGTTGCATCTCTTAAAGCTGCAGAATTAGGTAGCTGCAAACTAAGTGACTGCCCCAATCTCTCCGAGTTGCAGACTACAACCAGGTTCAGTAAAATGAAGAACTAAATGGGCAGCCCCACCTTATCCTGCCATTCTTTAACAACTGACACATCTGTTGGCTTGGTGGACCATTTGCAACATAAGTTTTGTGTTGCAATTAAAGCAATCTCTTTGGAAAAAGAGATGGGGAGAGTGAGACACATTTGCAATCATGAACTATTCCAAACTTTGAAGATTCATGATTGTTTGTGGTTCACAGTTAAAACAAATACAGCGACAGGGAAATAATCCCCCTGACCAAGCAAAATGTATCCATCTGTGTGTAAAATACAAAATACAAATGATGCATGTTTGGGTGAACAAAACCATTTGCATTGCAATGTTCATCCAGCTCCCGCAGAATTGACTGGATTCTACCTTTTGATACAAATAGGGCTGCTAATTCACACGTGAAGCATCTTGCTGCAACCCCAGAGCTGGATCAGAACCAATATGATTTTCAGAAAGAGTTGGGTTGGGGTAGGCATCCAAAATATCCAATAACCAAGCTGGACTCCGTCCATTGCAACCAACTGTTCAGCATCAAATATGCCACTGAGCATAGGAGTGTGCATTATGTAGCATGCATCACATGACTTTTTGCTTTCCAAATCTATCTCGGATCATTCAGAGCAAAACACCTTGTGGCTGAATTTCCCTAAGGAAATTCAGCTTCAAAATTAAATATCAAATCTGATAAAAAAGGCTAAAGAACTAGTATCTAGAGTGAGTTAATTACCAAGGTTTCTCTCTCGCGGGGGCTCATGATGGGTTACAAAATATCTTTAAAAACTACCACAAAAAAAATGCAAGAATGTTATGTAAAATCTTAAGATAAAGCCCTGCAAAATACAGAACTGTGATGAAAAAAATCCATGTCATCACATTTTATTTATAAAGAGCCTAAAATGACTAGGTGCTGTACAATACTTTAAAAGGAGAAGGAGAAAATTCCTTGCCAGTAGGCTAATCTATCACACAATAAGAAGAGTGAGGGAATGGATGGAGAAGAGGGGAGTGAGAGATCCACAAAACCCTTCATTTGCTTGGGATGCTCTCATCTGGGACTTGTCCTACTTGAGTCCATGAGAGATTCATTCAAATTTCACAAACAAATCTCCCCCTTTACCTCTAACTTCACTTGCCCTGCTTTTTCCTCTTTCTTCCTCTGTGTTGCTGACTTATCAACAGGCCACAAAGAAGGCAGGGATGAATGGGGGAAATGTTTAGTTGCCTTTTCCACACACACACCCCAATGCCAACAAATACACCCACACCTATTTTCGCATACTTCACACTTGAATTCCCATTGAAACCAGCAAGGGTGAGCATGGTCAGGAGTCAACACTCTTGTAAACACCTGGCTGACCATAGCTCCCTGGTCACCCTCCAGTTGGCCATTGCAACCTGCTTACTCACCTGCCTCTTACTCTACTCCTCCACTCCTTAGGAGATACCACTGCCTGCATGCTCATTTGGCTCTCAACCTGCTCAGTAAGCAGGTGGTGGTAGCAATGATGAGGACCAAATGGAGACCCAGGAGCAGCTTATAGGAACCTTGGGGAGGAGGGAGTGTGCCCTGCACAAGTGCCCTTCAAAACCTGGAAATCAGTACTGGGCTTCTAACGAAATCAATAGGAAATTCATGCCGTCGTTATCGTGGACCAAGTGACAAGGAACTGCTGCCTGTGACTCAGCATCACCAAGCAGCCGTAGGCTGCTTCCAGACGGGTGGCTCCTAGTGCTATCCAATCATTCCTTTCCATTTTAAGCTATGAGTGGGATTGCACATGATGCACCAAACTACCAGGAGCATTGTGCTCGTGTTCCGACTCGACCAGCAGGTGTGATGTAGCTGTTGTAGGTGGGACCATGTGTCGCTCAACACACGTTTGTGATAACTGTTGTGGTGGGTTCCATTTTAAGACTGCCTTCATTTTTAATTTTTAATCGTTGCTAAAACGCTTCACCTGCTATTTGTTATGAAAGAGTGGTGTGGTGGGGGACAGTCACAGAGGCAGGGAGGACAGTTGCTGGTGGTTTTAAATGGCTAGGAGTGGACGGGAGCGAAGACTACTACTATGCTGCAGTCCGCTCCCAGGCCCCACTACCCAAGGCCTGGCCAGATTGGCCAGAATTCAAATTGCTGTCCAGCGGGAACTCCCAATGCGCCATGTGGCCGGCCCAGGGATTACCCAAATGCTGGCCACTTGGATGAACTTTGCTCCCAGGGGTCTTGGAGCCTGACGCAATGGGCCACAACTGCCACCCACCCCCAACTGGGTAAGCGGCCATTATGTTGCATCAAGTATTTTCCCAATGCATTTTCCCATCACTTATTCTCATACTTATTGCACCAAGTTCAATATTTTGGGGGAGTGGGTTTGTTTCCCCAATCAGCTTTTGTTGTCTGAAAATATTGACAGTTTGGAACCACAAGCACTTTTCATGGAGCCCAGCAGGGCAAGCCAGAGGTTTTGTGTGAATGTGGTTGAGCACCCTAGAACGTGTCCCACACTCTTCTACAAAATGCAAGGATTCCTCAGCCAACACATGGATGTAGGACATGGTCCCTTGAAAAATCTGAAAAAAATGCTAGAGTAGTTCATTGAGCCACAGGGCAAGAGGCAATCCCAGGTCCATCTATTTAAAACACACAACTCTCCCCCAAGAATACTGGGAACTGTAGGTTTTTTTTATGGGTGGTGGGAATTGTAGCTCCCAGTTCCCAGGATTATTTGAGGGGAGCAATGACTGTTAAGAGTGGTCATGAGAGTGTTTTAAATGGATGGTGTGGATGTAGCCCTGATTTGGATGGCTCAGACATGCCACGCATGTGACATGCCACACCGAAGGAAGGCAGAATCTTCAATATGGCATCAGAAAACTTTCCTCCCTGTTTATAGCTTGTCAATCAATCAGAGTCTCAGTAACGAAGCAAAACCCATCGACTGATTCATGGCTCCATCATCTCTCCCATGAACACACTTCAGGGTGAATCATTTGCACAACGTGAAATCACGACGTTTAAGAAATGCTGCAGCAGTTTTGCAAAACCCAAAACTCCAGCCACCAGAAACAGAGTGACATCATCTGCCCTTCAGTTTCAAATCTACCCTTTGCCACATATTTTAAATTCCTGCCATCATCCTAAAATGAAATGCTGTGGAACATTCAAAAGAGTTTTAAGAAATCTGGATTTCTTTTTATTTCTTTTTTGTTGTTGTTCCCAAATGTAGGGCACTGACCAGCCTAGCAATGTTTTTCTTCAGGGTTGCTGTAAAGAGATCCAAAGCAAGCCATCAAGGATTGGACTGGCTGGAGACAGATCATCCCAACCCTGTTTACTTCCTAAATTAAATTCCCCCTGGAGAGAAGTCTTTCTGAAATGCAGTTGCTTCATCATCACCTTGATTTCATCTTTTGCCTTCTCCAATGAGTCTAAATTCAACCTTCCCTTACAAACTCCGTTTCCCCCGCTGACTGGAAATGCATACCCATAAAGCACACGCCCAGGAAGTTTGTGCATGGCTCCTCAAACCAACAGAATGACTCATATATCCTACTCCTCTCTAGGGGAACAGCTCCACCCTTTGCAGTAAGCATGACCTGACTGTGTCCCCTTTTCTAGGTGAGGAACAAGCCATCATCCTTCTCCACCCTGGTGACGGTAAGCATCCCTGACAAGTGAGTCAGGAAGAGAGAATCTAGAGACTGCCTGCGTACGGCTTGCAGAGTTTCTTTCAAGACATTTCCCTGTATTGATTGCTCTGCACAATCCAACCCACTTACTGTTTTTAGATTTTGAGTGGAGCTTGAGCGCCAGGAAAATGACTGCAGCCAAGCACAGCAACTCACAGAGGGGGTGAAAGAAACACGCCATTCCATTGTAACTTAAAAAGGAGGCTATGGGAAAGGACACTGCAGCCACCCAGACCAAGCTGAAGCCAAATAGGTGGACCACTGCCTGGACTGGCATACCCAGTGGCCATGACCAGACAGCGCAAGAGCACGCAGCAGATGATGGCTAATCAAGCGGTCAGCATGTTAGGTTGTAAAGTCTGGGTTTCTGAGTTACTTTGTGACTATAGTGTGTGTGTGTGTGTGTGAGAGAGAGAGAGAGAGAGAGAGGGAGGGAGAGGGAGGGAGGGAGAGCGCTATGTCTTTAGACATCCATCGTTCAGCCCAGACACTGAGGTCCAGCTCTGATGGTCTTCTGGCGGTTCCTTCACAGCTAGAAGCGAAATTACAGGGAACGAGGCAGAGGGCCTTCTTGGTAGTGGCGCCCTCTCTGTGGAACGTCCTCCCTTCAGATGTCAAGGAGATAAAGAACTACACAACCTTTAGAAGACACCTGAAGGCAGCCCTGTATAGGGAAACTTTCTTAATATTTAATGTTTTATTGTATTTTTGTATATGCAGGAAGCCGCCCAGAGTGGCTGGTGCAACCCAGTTAGATGGGCGAGGTTACAAATTAAATAATAAGAATTAGTCGTGGTAGTAGTACCACTCTTCTGTGTCTGGACTGAGAAACATAGAGCAACCTGGTTTTAAAGCTGAGGTGGTGTGGCAGTGGGTCATGTTGGTGGCGGCGTGTGGTGGCTGACCCAAAAAAATCAGGGAAAGGGGAATCCAGGGGCCCCATTAGTTGTTTGTGACTGAAGAAGGGAATTGGAGAAGGAGGTATTGTAGACAACAATATCATGAGACCTCACAGCAGGTCAAACGATGTGTCCGTCTGGCCAAGCATTGTCTATGCTGACTGGCCTAGCAGGGTCTATTTCAGGGCAGATAAGGGTCTTGCACATCATCTGCTACCAGAGGGGTGGGGACCCTTATTCAGCCTGAGGGCCGCACTCCATTCTGACAGCCAGCAGGGACACAGGGCCAGAGGCAGGGTAGAGCAACAACGGTTAAGTTTTAACCTTGTACAGTAGACTGGTTTCTACACCCCAACACCCTATTTTCTGAGTTCAAGAACACACACAAGCCAGGCAAAAAACAATAACATCCCAAGTAAAATGTGGCTTGGGAGAGTCTGGAGGGCCACATAGAGGGGCATGGAGGGCTGTCTTCCCTCCTCTGCCATTGGATCCTTTAAAAAAAACAACCTAGAGATGCCAGTGCTTGAACCTGGGACCATTTGTACAAAAAGTGTGTGCTCTACCCATGAACTCCCTTCCCCATCTGCAGAGTAGCAAGGGCAAGGAGATATTGCTGACATGGGCAGAAGAACAAGCGACACTGAGAACTGGAAGCAGGGTGAGGTCTTCAGCAGAATTCAGAAGGCTGGGGTGGCCAGCAATGTGTGTGTGTGTGTGTGTGTGTGTGTGTGAGAGAGAGAGAGAGAGAGAGAGAGAGAGAGAGAGAGAGAGAGAGAGAGAGAGAGACTGGAGCACAGGGAGTCTCATAGAGGGATAAGGCTATTATGCCTTGATAGCTCAGTTGGTTAGAGTGCAGTGCTGATAACGCCATGGTTGCAGGTTCAATCCCCATATTGGGGCAGCTGCTTATTCATTCCTGCATTGCAGGGGGTTGGACTAGATCAACCTTTCTCAACTGTGGGCTCCCCAGATGTTGTTGAACTACAACTCCCATCACCCCTAGCTAGCAAGGCCAGAGCTCAGGGATGATGGGAGTTGTAGTCCAACAACATCTGGGGACCCACAGGTTGAGAACCGCTGGACTAGATGATCCTCAGGATCACTTCCAAGTCTGCAATTCTATGAGTCTATGATGAGCGGCTACAAGCCAAAATGGTCATGCTCTACCTCCACTGTCAAGGGACCTCTGAATACCAGTTGCCAGGAATCCCAAGTGGGGAGAGCCACTGAAATCCCACTTACGGCCTTCCTGAAGGCCACTGCATGAAGGGAGTGTTGGACTAGATGGGCCTTTGGTCTGGACTCAGTGGGGATTTCTTAGGTTCTTATGATGTGGTGAAGCCTGAGCCATAGTGGGCAGCCACAAGGGGAAAGCAAATGAGCTGGAGAGGCCCTTGAAAGCCGTAGAAGCCAACTTGGCTGCAAGCTGATTGCAGTTCAGGGATGTTTGTGGCCTACAAAGGCAGCACAGATGGAAGGGAACACGGCGGCATGTGGGGGCAGTGGCCTTGGGTGGGCCAATGCAGCAGATTATGTGCGAACTCCAGATACCAACGTTCTCCTTCTGGCTTTGACAAGGTTACAGATAAGGTTCCGCCTTATGAAAACTCCTGCTGCTGCTGCTCCTTCTCTTCCTCCTCCTCCTCTAGCAAACAACGTGCTGATGAAAGCGTCCCTCGAACATAAGTCTTGGGTCAGGAGGACATTCCTTTCTAGCAAACACCTGGCTCCAACCTCCAGAGGAGCTCCAGGGTCAGGCTCAGGCAACTGCTTTAATTAAGGCTGTGAAAGACACCCATTAAAGAAACGTCCCGGGCATTTTTCAATCACAGTGTGTAGAAAGAAAAATCTCTTGGGAGCTCGGAGGCAGGGCCTACTACGGCCCTGTTCACCTGGCCTAGTTGCACAGCCTGCTTTTCATTGCATAGGTCAGGGCATGGCCTCAGAACACAGGCAATCATCCTCTCTTCCTGTGTCCTTGAGCATGTGCAGAGTGCCTCATCCTCACCACATCTGAGGCTGTGAGGGGAGAAGGGTGGGTGGGTGGGAAGTGGCTTTGTGGGAAAGCCCATGACCCTCAGGGTTCAGCATGAGCCCTCAATGTCTCTATTTCAGCCCCGGTGGGAGGAGAGGGAAAAGAGAGCAGAGAGTGTTTGCGTTTGGAGAGCTGCCAAGAGTGTTAAGAGCGGTAAGTTTTATTGAATACAATATCCCCAGGAACACAAAGAGAGGGAAACAGAAACCGTGCGATAGATAAGACAGCAGCACCAGGCAGCTACATATGAAATTACTGCAGTGACCTTGACTGAAAGAAATGGTCAGGTGGGGAGGGCATGCGAAGGAGGGCTGGCACTCACTGCCCAGGGGATGCCCAAAGTCCTAAACTTAGGTTAAGTGACACATTCCAGAAGAAGAACCACCTGAGCCTACACTGCAGCAAGACAACCCCGGCTGTATGGTGAGCCAAGGTTTCCCAGGTTGCTGCTGCCTGCAACAAACCAGACACGGCACATCTCTTGCACAGCTCCCAGGCAACAGGGCTTGGTCAGGAGAACTTCCTGCTAGACTGGGCCCATCATCATCCCTGCTGAGTTTCCACAACACCCTCTAAACTGCATATAAGTATTATTACTAGTAGCAGGGTGCATTCTGTGTTTCATTTCCAGGGACAATAAGAAATACTCCAACTCCAGAGATAGCAAGGGGGGAAAATCTGAATGGAGGAAAGATGGTAAGATGGGGGGGGTAACATTTGCACAGGTCCACCCCTTGTTACATTTGCCTCTCCCTTTCCTACCTCCCCCTTAGTTGTCCTTCCCAATAAGCTGGAAAAGTATAAAACTGTAAGCTCATCTGGGCAGAAACCAGCCCTCTTGTTCTGATTTTGTTTTTCCTTTTGTTTGCGCCACTCTGTAAAGCGAGGCAATCACTGATTCAACTATGCAATTACAACAGAGGGAGGAAAGAAGCAAAACTCTGTTGGGGAAGGAAAGAGATGGGGCAGCAAATGGCTATGCGAGGGGACGGAGGAAGCAAGTTCTCCAAAATCAAGACCCTGAAGGATGGACTGCACTGTAGGAGGCTGCAGGGAAAGAGGGTCACAGGCCATCCATTTCAAACATCCTGCTCTACAGCTGACCCTCCTTTTCTCTCTGATGCAGTTTATTTCATTTATTTATTTTGTAAGATTTATATGCCGCTCGATTGCAAAAACAAAACAACAACAATAACAACACCACACCCCTCTTAATTTTTCTAATATTTGGGAACATAAGAAGCTGCCATCTAGCTTAGTGTTGCCTGCACTGACTGGCAAAGGCTCTCCAGGATTTCTGGGGTCTGAATTTGAGGGGCTCTGCATACAAAGCAGCGCTCGGCTTAGCCATTGAGCTCTGGCCTAATAACTGTGCCCAGGGAGTGAGTCTCCGTCTGGTGCAGAGTTGCCAGAGATGCTCCCACAGAAAAGTAACAGGGAGCCTTCTTAGTAGTCCACCTTCTGGGTGGTTTGGACCACAACTATGGAGCTGGAAAAAGTTGTACTGTAGTCAGAATTATCTGGAGGATACCCCCCACAAAAGCGTAATCTGAACCTTAACCTGACCTGGGAAAGAAAAGGACCAATCTGAGTGGGATAGAAGGGACTTGAGCTTTAATAAAGTGGGGTGGGAGTGGGCAAAATATTGAAATGGGGCGCCAGGTTGGCGACAGGACCTGAGAGGAAACTTTCAGAGCCTGTTTTGATTCATCAAAGCGCGGGCGAATCTCCCCAGTAGAAGACTCTTTGGTGCTCCGTCTGTCTGTCTGTCTCTCTGTGTGTCCTGCCTTCCACCCAAGTGCTTCGGGACCCGCAAGCCTGGCACTGACTTACCCCCTTTCCTTGCTCGCGCGACCAGGCGGCAGGCAGCCCTTTCCAGCACTGCTAGCTAGCCAAAGCAGCCGGCATTACATAATCCTGCTGAATCTTCCTACGATCCCTAGTCCCTGTGCGAGCGAGCGAGCGCCAGAGAGGGGGAAGGGAGGGAAGAGAGAGAGAAGGAAAGGTGTGCGCGGGGGTGTCCGTGTGCGCGAACACGCGCGCGCGCCTACACACACCTTGAAGAAATCCTGGGGAGTTCGGAGGCGGCAGCTGCTCTCTGGCAGAGGCCCGATCCAACCCATCCAAAGGCGCGCGACCTGCGTGCTTTGGCAGGGCGCTGGAGCATGCAGGTGGCGAGAGAGGGGAGGCGGGGGGGGGGTGCAGAGCACAGACTGGGTAACCTCCTCCTCCTCCTGCATCTGGGTAAGGAAAAGGGGATCTCTCCCTCTCCTCGCGCGCACAAAAACCAAAGGCACCCCCCCCCTTTTAAGCCAGGTCTCCCTGCTCGCCACCCCACCCCTCTGCGGACCGGGAAACTTCAGCAGGCGGCGGCGGCGGCGGCGCAGCAGTGCGAGGAGCCCAGCGGGGGCAGCAGCTCGGCTTTGCCAAACTCGCGATGACAATCAAAGCGGGCTTCACTGCAGTCAGGAAAGCGCGCTCGGCGTCCAGAACTTTCCTCCTCCCCCCCCCCTTCCTCCTCCTCCTCCGGGCTACCTTTTCGAGGCTGAGCCTCCTCTCTCTGCCGCCCCCCACCCAGCGCCATCCTCCCCACTGCAGAGGGGTCCGCACTGCCGCCCGTCGAGGAAAAGCGCAGGGCGACCATTCACCCGGGTCGTCCTTTCCCGCTGGGCAGTCCTGAGGCGAGCGTCCTTACCTCAGGCGCCGCCGCTGCAGCTGCTGCTGTGCGCGTGTCCTTCTCTTCCTCCTCCTGCCTCCGCCGCCAAGCTCTCCCTCAGCAGCGGTGTCCGCAGTCGGCTGGTGCTGCTGCGACGGCTGCCATCCTCAACCCCCTTCAGGTGCCTTTCCCCTCAGACGACCGGATCAGGCAGGCGCACTGCTCGGTGGTGCCTTCCAGCCTCCTCTCCCCGCCACCCTGTCCCTAAATCCATCCAGCGGGAAAGCGAAGCCGTTCCTCCATCCCTCTGCTCCTCCTCCTCTTCTTCTCCTCCTCCTCTCACCTTTGCGAGTCCACCCAGGAGAGGAACAGGAGCTTTGCCTCGCAGGGGCGCACGACGCGCAATCAGCCTCGGCGTTTGTGTGTGTTTGCGCCTGGTCTTCCCTCAGCTGCAGAGGGAGTCTCTCGTCCTCCTCGCCAGCCCGGCGTTTAAGAGAGAGCAAGGCGGGGAGCCGGGATGGGGGGGGGGGAGCAAAAAGTTGCTCGGCTTGCTGGGCAGGTCTGCTTCAGTTTCCACAGGACACCAGGCGCGCGCAAAGCAGGAGGGACTGAGCCAGGGAGCGAGGAGGCAGGCTCGCTGCTGCTGCTGTTGCTGCCGCCACCCCGGCTCTGGTTAACCGCTTCAGGCCCGCGACGTCGACGACAGGGACTCTCCGAAGTCTTCTCGGCGACCCCGCTTCGAGGGAGACGCAGGAGAGAGACAGAGAGAGAGAGGGGCAGGGATTATGAAAGCAGAGAGGCAGTGACTCACTGGCTTAACCCCTTCGGGCGGCGGGCACCGCCAGGCAGGCGTGCCAAGGCGGCGACGGGCGATGTGGGAGAGAAGGGCCGAGGGAGGCAGAAGCGTTAACAAGCCCTGGACGAGGCTCGGTCCCTGCCGTCCCAGAGCTGGAGCGCTGCCACCGCCGGGGCCCCCGGGGCTTTGTTTGGTTTGCCTAGACAGCAAAACGGCGGCGTGACCCGAGGGCTGCCACCGCCAGGCCTGTCCTTTCGCCCGCTCCCACCTTTCCCCACCTCCCTTCAAAAAGATTTTGAAAGCACCGACAACGTGTTGGTTCGCGGGGGGGGGGAGGGAGAGACGACGACCCCCACCTTACCCCCTCCCCAAAGAGCCACTGACAAGTAGCGAGCAGGAGGCGGGGATGACGGCTGTCACCCTCTTCCTCGTCATCGAGCTGCCGCCTCCACTCCACTCTTTGTACTATATGTTTGAATCAGCAACAGATTTGTTCGCCTCTTTTCTATCTGACAGTTCTGGTGTTCTACTGGATAATAATAAAAAACTGAGAATCCTGCATTGCAGGGGGTTGGACTAGATGATCCTTGGGACCCCCTACCAACTCTACCATTCAAATGATTCTATGATTCTCCTTCTGGGATGGAGGGGGAGCTGAGAACAAGCCATCCATTCACCTGCTGTGGAGAACAGGGGGGGAGGAGGGTCCTGGGTGTGCTGTGGTGGGTGGGGGTTCATGTCCACCGTTTTATTAAAGCAAATAGGATCGATAATGATAATGATCACCTGCCCTTCACCAGCAGGTCCCAGAAGTGGCCCTGCAACCCTTCAGATGTTCCTTGGACTCCATTTCTCATCACATCCATATAGAAAGGCCAACAAGGAGGGATGAAGGGAGACTGGAGTCTGACAAATTTCCAGAGGGCCACAAATTCCCCTTCACTGACTCAGGAGGGGAGGACCATGCTTCCAACATTTGCACCCGAGAAGTCCCAGGCTTAATCCCTGGCACCTCACATTAAAAGGATCAGGGGACAGCAAACATCTAGAGAGAGCGGATGTAAAGACTCAGCAAGACCAATGCAAGGAAGTTGAGGCAGTCATCTCAGGGAATGGATTTGGAACACTTGGTGCCAGAGTTTCCTTAACAGCATACAAAGGCAAAAGCTTGTCCAGCACAATCCAGGTTGGGACCTCCCAAATGCCTTGATCCAAGCAGAAGAACTGCTGGGAGTTTGAGTTTGGGCTTTCACCCAGATACTGCCTGAAGTGCAGCAAAGTCGGCAATTTAGCAGGTGGCTAGAGATATGGGATGCACACTTGGCACAGGAGTCACAGGCGTAATAAGGTACCGGGCTCTCCCTTGCCGATAGTGCCAGTCCCAGGCTTTAGATGAAACGGGGAATGGGGGCCTATGCTATAGGAGAGGCATTTAGTCTCTATAAGTGGCCCATTCACCCATGAATGTTTTCAGTACAGCAAAATCCAATGCACAGCATCTCCTGCAAGCGTTCAAAAGTTGGCATTTACTCATTGCATTTATATTCCACATTTCTGCATCGTGTTGATGTAGTCCAAAGTTGGCAGTAACCAACTAAGTTTCTAGTTTTCCCAGAGGGCCGCTCATTGCTAGTGGTCCCATGGGGACGACCAGAGACATGCCCTCAGCAGATCCTTGCACATTATCAGAGGAGGGCTGACCATGCTGCTTGGTGGGTATGAGTTTAGGGCTTTTGCTTGAAGAACTACAAAACCAGCTTGATAGGGCATTTCCTTGCCAGGGCGGGGGAGAAGCACCATAGCTGAACAATTCCACTCCCAAGCTTCTGAAAAGCCCTTGTCTGTAAACAGGCTACTATAGCATTGATGGAGCTCTGCAGGCTCCAACAATCATAATCCAGGGCTCTGCAATGCATATAGAAGTAGCTGCCTGAATCTGTTTTTATGAGGAAGAGGGAACATGATGGTGAATAACAACAACAACAAACAACAACAGCAAGTTATGATATACCCCTGGGTTCAATCATGTCGTTAATGTATGAAGCCAGTCATAGCATTGGTCTGAAAACCTTGCTATACTGTGGATTGCCCTTAATTACACCCCGAAATTTTCGACAGAACTATACACAGCAGAGTACAGAGAAACGAGTACAGTGGTGCCTCGCAAGACGAAAAGAATCCGTTCCGCGCGGTTTTTTCGTCTTGCGAAGCAACCCTATTAGCGGCTTAGCGGATTAGCGCTATTAGCGGTTTAGCGGCTATTAAAGGCTTAGCGGCTTAGCTGCTAAAAGGCTATTAGCGGCTTAGCAGCTTAGAAAAGGGGGGGAGCGGGGGGGGAAATCGCAAGACTAGCAAGACAGTTTCGTCTTGCAAAGCAAGCCCATAGGGAAATTCGTCTTGCGAAGCAACTCAAAAACGGAAAACCCTTTCGTCTAGCGGGTTTTCCGTCTTGGCAGGCATTCGTCTTGCGGGGCACCACTGTAGTGCCAGCCAACTGTGGCAGAGTTAATTGTGCAGATTAGCCCTCATGTCTATTTAACCAATTGGCAGCTTTATAAACAAAAGGAAACTGCTCTGGCACAGCATATATAAACAGGGTTTGTTATTATTATTATCATTTCATTATGAAATCAGTAGTATTTAGACAAAAGGTGGCTTGTTCTTCTTTTCTAAGGGATCCTTCTTCAGCACTTCAAAGAGGGAAAGCATTCTGCTCACCATTGAATCCAGCAGTCCATAAACCTAAGAACAGGAGTCAAAAAAACTTTCAGGACAAAAATGTGGACAGCAAAGTCCCAGTAGAAAGGTACACATGAACAGACAGTCAAGTATGTTTTTTCTCAGGTGGTTTTTTTGTGTTTGCAGGCATCCCATAACAAACATTCTCTGTGTGTGAGAGAGGCATTTTTCATCCTTCAACAGAGTATAGTACATGTCTATTCAGAAGTATGCCCCACTGAGTGCTCTGTGGGGCTTGCTCTCAGATACATGGGTCTAGGAGTGCAGCCTTAATGTCCAACTGCAACTGAGGATAACCCTCTATATTACTGCTGCAGAATTCCATCATCAGTGACAAATTGGAGCAATCCCAACAGCTCCTAAAGCCTCTTTGTTCCATTAGTGTAATAGCTGAGGAAGCTACAAACATATAAACCAGGGGTCAGCAAACTTTTTCAGCAGGGGGCCGGTCCACTGTCCCTCAGACCTTGTGGGGGGCCAGACTATATTTTTTGGGGGGGGGTGAACGAATTCCTATGTCCCACAAATAACCCAGAGATGCATTTTAAATAAAAGGACACATTCTACTCATGTAAAAACATGCTGATTCCTGGACCATCCGCAGGCTGGATTTAGAAGGCGATTGGGCCGGATCTGGCCCCTGGGCCTTAGTTTGCCTACCCATGATAAAAACATATACTATTTGGGGTACATGTAAAGCTGTAGTGCTAGCCTCACCAAACTTGGGAATAAGGCCCACTGAATTCAACAGGACTTCGGAGTAGACATTAGGACTGTGCTGTAACCTGCTGCCCATCTTTCTTTTCAGTGGGCTGAGGAAAGGCTGAAACCTTGCCTCACACAGGTGCAAAAGAGGACTGTGCATTTAGAGGCAGGGGGGAATTGTCATTTCAACAGGTTAAGTGCTTCATAAAATTTTGGGAAGCACTCTCGGCCCCACGTTTTCTCTCTCATGTTTGACCTGCTCAGCTGAAGAAGATGCAACCCCATATATCCTTTTGGCTAGTGGCGGTTGAAGGCAGGTTATCGTGCCTGCTGGCTGTCCTGGGAGATCCTGGAATGGCCCTCAGGTGCTGGTCTGGCCTGCCCTTCTAAGCTAAGATCAGGGGTGAGAAGTGGCAGGAATTAGATGGCCATGAAATGCACACTTGCCCACTGCATACTCAAGTGTGGCTCAGTAGACATGGATAGGATTTTAGGAACAGAGGAAGCTGCCTTATCAGATCATTAGCCTATCTAGCTCAGTTCTGTCTAAATCAACTGGCAGCAGCTCTCCAGGATGTCAGGCAGAAGTCTCTCAAACTGTTGCAGCCAATCAGAACCCACGGATGTTCGGGTTCCAAAGAACGTTTGCAAACCAGAACACTCACTTCCGGGTTTATGGCATTCGGGAGCCAAAACATCCAAGTTCCAGAGCGTTCAGGATTCAAGGTACGAATGTATTTTTATCATTAAATTTCTATACCACCCTTCATTTAGAACATAAAAACAAACAAAAACAATTGCCTGCTAGTTTAAAAGGCCATAAAGGTAAGTAAAGGGACCCCTGACAATTAGGTCCGGTCGTGGCCGACTCTGGGGTTGCGGCACTCATCTCGCTTTATTGGCCGAGGGAGCTGGCGTACAGCTTCTGGATCATGTGGCCAGCATGACTAAGCCGCTTCTGGAGAACCAGAGCAGCACACGGAAATGCCGTTTACCTTCCCGCCGGAGCGGTACCTATTTATCTCCTTGAACTTTGACGTGCTTTTGAACTGCTAGGTTAGCAGGAGCAGGGACTGAACAACGGGAGCTCACCCCGTCGCGGGGATTCGAACCGCCAACCTTCTGATCGGCAAGTCCTAGGCTCAGTGGTTTAACCCACAGCGCCACCCGCGTCCCTTAAAAGGCCATAGATTGTATTAAAATGTTATGGTTCTGGCTGAGTTTAGTCCGGAATAGCAGCCTAGCCCTATGCTGTTAGGAGACAAAAAATGTAATTATTCCATCAGTCTATCAAGTCTCAAGTCTGCCTGAGTACTGAGAAGAAGTCACTGGGGAGAACCGATTCGTATTTCAGGACTGCCGGAGACACTATTTCCCCCTAATGCCTGGCCTCTGTGTTATCACAGAAGATAACTCTGCTAGATGAGCTTGAGGAAGCAGATGAAAAGGTCACTCTGAACTTAAGGAGAAGGCACCCGTTTCAAAAGCAATGCATGCATGAAGGACTCATTATAGAGAAGTTTTAACTTTCATCTCAGGAGCCTGGATTAAACAGTTGCCTGTCTGTCACAAATGCACAGCAAGTTCTAAGACTGAAATCAATTGCCGTACGTTGAAAAGATGGCACAAAATGAAAAAGCAACTGGGAGACGATGACAAGCAGCCTCATCCTAGGCACATTTGTTCAGAAGCAAGGCCCACTAGTTTTAACAGTAAAGGTAAAGGTAGTGGGACCCCTGACTGTTAAGTACAGTCGCAGACGACTCTGGGGTTGCGGCGCTCATCTCGCTTTACTG